TTACTTTTTCCAATTGTGTCTCCGCGCGCGCGTTCTCTCGTTGCGCGGTCGTGTGCATGCGCGCTCTATATTTTTTCCTTTCGCGCACGCCCCACCTAGCTCGCAACGATATAAAAATTCATTTCGTCTTTTAATATTTTCACTGTTGAGTGCGTAGTACAGTGTATACACACGCGTCCAAGTAATATGGGAAAAATTTTTCTTATATCTCTCTCGCGGCGAAAAAAGAAGGAGGGCGCGGACACAGGAAAAAAAGCGCGCGTGCGTCGGCTGACTGTGCGCAGCATTATTCTACTGAGAATATATAAAACTTTAGCTCGTACGCGCGCAGCACTTTTCTTGTACTTTGCGCCACGCGCACACGACCGAGCATAAAATCCTATAATGAGCGATGAAAAAAAAAAAGAAGGCAGCCAATGTAAAGAGGAGCAAAGTGTAATATTTCTGCATTCGCGCAGTCGTCGTTGCCATCGTGGCTACGCGCATACACGGAATGGCGACATTGCACTTAATTAAATCCGGGCTCTTTAAATAAATCTCCCACGCGTAAATGTATAATTTACTTCCTGCACCGGAGTTCGTTGAGAATTCGTGCTTTATATCGCGAAAAATTGCATCTTAAGCCCGTCGTATCGATTTGCCATCGTTTTAATTCAGCCACTGTGAGAGCGAGAGGAGCAAAAGAAAAAACGACCACCGATGCATCATCGGCCAAAGTTTCCGCTGGTGTACCTACTGTGCACAAAAACCTTCGAAAGTTTCGTAATACGTCACCGCGATGAACTACCACGATGGCGGTAATGATATATATCGTATACGTACTGCCATATATATTTATATAAATGCGCAACGCGAGTTTTAACAAGTATACACTGTTTGAAAGAAAAAAAAATATTTTCCGTAAAATCAAACATTAGAATTAAAGTAACTGATTCTGAATTTTGAATGTACTTTTATATGAAGTCTTCATTGAAAATCAATGTATATATGAAACACACAAATAATTCATGAAAATGTTGTAACATACATTAATTTTAATTTAAAATTGAATAATGAATATTTAATTCTATACATAAATTTAAACATTTTGATTGAAATTGTTCAAAGAATGTATGAGAATTCAATCTTCAATTAAAACCAGATTTTGCCACTAGATGGCGAGTACTTCTATATGGAAATCTGCAAGTGGCAAAGTAAAAATAATTGTATAAGTCAAATCACAGTTTGAAATTATTTGTCGCAATTTAGGTTATTAAAAGTCACCGATTGACTACTTATTGGAGAATTTTTATTCGAGTTTTTTACGTATAAGCTTTTTACGCAAAGTGCTTACTTTTCAAGTAAAGATTTTAGAAATAAAATAATTTCAAGCCTCAATTGATTGAAGCGTTTAAACAAATTTGAATACGAATTTTCTAATAATCGTCTGACGACTTTCTTATAGTATCGAAGACATCTAAGGAAGAAGGGTAAAATAATAAAAAAGTAACACATACGAAATACACGTGATAAGATAATTAAAAAGCTTGACCCTATAACGCTTTGTTGGGGCCGATTAATCGGAAAAATGAGCCGAGCGCGTGAAAGCTCGCCTTCGTATGCACTCAAAGGTGTACGTACGTTATACATATCGCCAGGCGCGGATGACGCATGTTCGATCCGCCGCGCGTATTGAAGTGCAATATACATACGTGCATTACGGCTATTACGGTAATCGGTGTCACGGGCGCGTGTTTTTCGCCTACCGCTGCTGCTCTATACGCGTATGTATATTCGCTCGTGCTGTCGAGATCGTGCATAAACACACGAGGCTCGAGCTCTCATAATATAGTCGCTCTTCGAGCTTCCACGTCGTCGTCGTCGTCGTCGTGCACCTGGCAGACTATCAAAAATTTTCAAGTGCACGTGTGTTGTGATGTGTGGCCGCCGCGAACACACACACTCGCTATACAATAATACGGGCACGATCTCTGCCTATTTGACAAACGCTTGTATCGCCGCCAGAGTTAAGGGTCATTCGGTTTGAGAAACCGACAATTTGCTAGCGAAACGAAAAAAGATATATACACACACACACACTTACCGTTTTCAAGTTGGCCTCTCGATACTATCTCGGGATGTTTTACACTTTAGTCGTTGATCCGATGGGCTGCTGCAGCTGCTGTTGAACCATATTAGTCGTGTGTGCGTGTGTTACGTATAATTAGTCAGTCATATAATATTCACTTTACACTTATGTAGGTACTATACGATACGCATAAACACATGTATTATTGATATCGATATTTATGCATACATGAGTGTACGTGCATTTATAGATAATTTATTGATATCGCTTATATATGCCCAAGTGCACGAAACGAAAAAACAATCTTCATTAAAAATTTTTTTGCAAATTGTTAAACAGCAAAATCGGGACTCGAGCCAAATGCAAAAGAGACCGTCATCGCGCGAAGTTCTTGAAATTTGAATGCACCACCGCTCGCAAGCATTGATTTCGATCGATCATACACACCCGATCGAGTCCGGGCTCGAAACTTTGCCCGTTGCAGCCGAAAAAAACTTTCGGGAATATACGAATCGTCAGAAGAGATCTGAATGCTGTACTCGGAAGTGCGCTCGTGTGTCCGCGTCGCTTCGAAATTTCATGCAATCAAAAATCATTCGTTGGAAAAAGGGAAGGCTTCGTAGAAAAGTAACTCGAGCGTGCTTACAGCGTGGGGAAAGGTTAGTCGGAAAATCAGTCCAAACGGTCGTAAGGGATAAAATGAGGCATATGGGAATCGGTACACATACGGCTGTATCTCTGCGTCGATTCGGTGGCAGGCGCGCACAACACAGCTCGGGGCGAGCTTGCGCAAGCTCGCGCGAGTCGATCAGCACCACCAAGCACCAACCGCAATCTCTTACGAACGACACTTTTTTCCGCACAATTTATTTATTTATCATTACTTTTTTACGTGCCGATCTTTCGTCCAAATAAACACGAGAAGCACGAAAAGAGATGGGAAATTGATCATCACTTGTAATTGTCGAGGAGATCAGCACTTGTGAAATCAGAGACACGATCACACGGCACACTTCCGTACACCATCGGATCACTTTTGGCTCTCGTAGAAATTATTATTATCCCTTAGTAGGGTAGAAGCAAAGGCGGTCAACGCGAATTATCGAGTAGAGAAAAGGAAAGCACAACATTTTTCAAGCACACAGCAACGTATTAATAAACGCGAGCGTTTAAATAATATAAAGACGTCGGGGTACGCGCGCGAGACTCGGTAATCGTGTCGCGGTGCAGCACCCCCACATACCGTATACAGAGGCAAATGTGTGTTTGTGTAACTCGTCGCGCTCGCGCTTTTATGTATGTAACGAAGGTGCACAGAGAATAGAGTAACGATATATAATAAAGGTCACGAGGCCGAGGCACAAGCACGGGGGGAGAGAGAGAGACTCTATATGTAACCCCGTAAAAGTGAGTAGTGCATTTGTGCAGCTCGTGGCAGGCATATATAAACTAGCGCACCGAGGGAAATTGTACGCATCGTGCACGTACGTTCACACACACACATAGACAGGTGAGCGCCGAACGCGCGCGCGACTCTTGTATTATGTGCCTAGAATAGAAACGTATATCTATACTCGATCAGCGATGCGCGCGTATACGCGTGTGTGTGTGTATACGTGCACGAAGGTACAATATACATACTCAGGTGTGTATGCGTTTTCGCAAGTGTGTATATGTGTGTATATTTATATATATCTATGTATACTCGGCAAACACGCAGAAACGCGCTGTACTGGTCGGCGGCGCACTAACTGACTGACTGACTTTGTTCTCGCGAAACTCGAGTAAAAAAGAGAGCCAGCAGCAGCAGCAGCAGCAGCAGTCGGATGGGGTGGGGTGGTGGCACCCGAGAGGGCTACAGTTTCGAGCAGCAGCAGCAGCAGCAGCACTACGCAGAGCGCAAGCTTCGCGAGCCAAGCCGTAGTGTACGTACAGCAGAGAGACGGGGGTTGCGCGCCACCCCTCGTCGAGCTCACTGCACGACGACGAGTCGAGTCGAGTCGAGCTGCAGCACACAGCTATACACTATGCACACTGCACATATTGCATACATATCTACGTATACGTATCGTAGCGCGTATATATACGTATATATAGCGTGGATAGAGCTAGATATATACGTACGCTACTGCTGGCTCTTGCGTCAAAGTCGCGCGGCGCCTGTGTTACGCCACGACGAAATGCAGCTTTTTGCGCGCCCGAATCGAGAAACACAGAGCGAGTAATGTTGTATACACGATAGGACCTTGCCGATAAGCATCTCCGCGTTCGATGCCGCGACGCGACAATTTGTTGCGCGATATAATAGTAACGAGCGATCGATGACACTTTTTCCAATGATATCCGCATGTAATATGCGCGATCGAGGATGTGGGTCAACTTTTACGATTTTTAGACGTTATCCCGACCCGCGTCAGATTTTAAGGATGATTCGATCCTCGTAATGAAGCTCATACTTTGGCAAATCGTTCCTTCGATTTTTCGTTTATCGCGTGCTTTACGCGAGCTCGTCTCGAGACATTAATTCTTGACGCGTAATCCCGATAGTCCGATGTGTCACGCGTTATATTTTTTTACCGCGAATCGCGAAAAGATTCGTGCGTGCCTTTTTTACTTTTAATTAATTCAATCTGTGCATTCGCACGGGCGTCGTCGTCAGCATATTGCAGAGCTGCTGCTGCTGCTGCTGACCAAGCTTACAGCTTACGGCCGAGCTTATACCGAGACATTCTTACTCGCGTACTGGACTTCCCCCGTGACACGACCAACGTATATACACAATACGTGTATATAATAATATCATAGCCATCTGAGCCTCCAGGCGAATTATCAGCTTGAAAAAAGAATACGACTCCACACGGGCCGTATTATGTGCAGCGACGACGGTGGCGGTAGCGACGCCAATATAGTGCTGTTTTTATCTTATCGCAGCTACACAGCACTCGAGCTCGAGCGACAACAATGGCCAGCTAGCTCTCGGGCATCGAGGGCCAGTGCCGAGTTCAGTGCGTCGATAAAATCGACAGTCGCGTTTGACACTTTTGTGTATGTTTTTTTTTTTTTTTTGTTTTGAACCAAAGTTAAAAGTCCAAAATGAAAAAATCCGAGTCCGAATCCAAAGGTAAGTCGGCGGCACCGACTGCAGACCAAGCCAAGCCGGACAAGCCTCGGCCAAAGCCAGCTCACAAAGTGCTCGACAGGTCGCAGAAAGTTTCCAATCAAGTGAACGTGACAAATATCGTGCATAACGGTCCGAGGCTGCCTGTAAAACATCATCATAAACCAAGCACCTCGCAGCAGCAGCATCATCACCACCCCAAGCCCAACACCTCCCATGTTCAGGTAAATTATTCCATACATATTGAAATTTAGATTCGTGAGAATGACGCAGTATATCGTTCAAATCTATACAGAAAGCACCGGGACAAACGCCGAGTTTACCAGCAGCTGGCACAAGCCAAGCCAGCACTCACGAGAAAAAATTCATTCCTAAACCGAAAAATTTCAACAAACCAGTGGAACAACAATCTGCATCCAACATCAGTATTAATCTTTCAGTTGATTTACAAACCCTACTGAATGTGCTGCCTCAAAATCAAAATTTGCCTCGTCCTTATAACCCTCCGAATCATCAACAACAAAATCAAAATCCACCTGGTAACTTTAAGCCTCAAAATAAACATTATCAACAACAGCAACAACAACATCAACAACAACAACAAAAACAGCCACAGCAACATAAGAGTGGTAAGAATGATAATGAAAAGCCTCATCGAGTGAACAAGCAATCAGAAGGAACAAAAGTGCATCACAAATCTCATACCGATAAGCCAGCTCGTTCATAAAATTTTAATAGCTCAATGAAGTTAATAATTTTAATGATAGCTGCGGGTTTTAATTAAAAAAAATTAAAAAATGTAAAAATGACAAACACCGGAAAAAAGTGTGAATCTTGTGTCATGGATAAAATATATGGTACCTACACGATGGCAACCACGATTGCAGCTGTGCTTGACTCGTTATCGGTTGTACAAAATGGAATAATTTAAAATAATATTAATAACAATAATAATTAATGTCATTAGTATCTCACACACGAATCAAATTAATTTTTTGACTTAACCAAGTGTTAAATTGATTTGTTCATTGCGTAAAAAATTTATTTTGAGCGACAAACAAATTCCATTGTCATGTCGCTTATCTTTTAAGTTCAATTAAGTAATTCATTTTTCTGACATTTTTGTGACTATGAAAGTGTGAACGATCATTTTTGCTATAAAGATTTTTAGATAGAATATACTAAAGTACTAAGTGGGTGAGTAAGTAAGCAAGTAATATTTCATTGGTGTACGTCGACTTTATACTTTGATACAAACAGTTATAATAATTATTATTGCAAGTTTTGAACAATTATATACATAAATAATGACTCGTGTTGGTTTTATTACAAAAAATGGTTATATTCTATTACGATTTATGCGGTAAACTGCAGGTGCAAATTGGCATCTATTATTAAGGCACGTCGTGCCCGCAGCGCAAAGACCGTCAGTAGAATCAATCAAATTACAATACTGCCCAGGTGCCTAAAAATAGAGAATTAATAAATCTCAAATGACAAAGATCTTCACTTGTACTTGAAACAAGAAGTTTGATGACACAAAGTATTTCACGTGATTATTTATACAGATAAAAAATATCGAAAAATAAAAAAGTACACATAGGCATCATCACAAAAAACGCTTTACGTTTCTTTACAATTGGAAAAAATATTTTACCCCCTACATACTTTGGTTCGATTATTATTTCTAAATGAAATAATTTTGGTCATCAATGTATTTTCTTGATAATTTATTATCATTTTCGATAGACAAAGTGGTAGAGTAATAATTAAGAGCATACCTTGGCGCAAACATCGAAATGGCAAGTTTGCGAATATTTATAGCCGTATTGGCATTGTCCGCAGTATTGTCCACAATTTCGGCAAGAAATGGCTAGCGCACTGAAGCGAAATATCAAGCGATATAGAAACAATTCGAGTTACCGGACGATCAGAAAGAGAGAGAAAAAGAGAAGGCATTGTTGCGTGGATTTATTGTTGTTGTACTTACAAAGGTAGAGCGATCAGCAAAAAGCACAGTATGATGGATCTGAGTGATGCCATGATCTCCAAGTTGTATATGCTATTGAATTGAAAAAATCATTGAGTAAGCGAGAGTCATGGAAGTTGAGAAGTAAAATTTTGACACACTTACCCTTGTGGTACAGCCGGTCTGAGGTCGCGAGGTTACGTGTCAAATCTGTCTTGGCTAGTAGTTGCACATAACGAATCGATCATGTGGGACCGGAGCTCTATATAACCCGAAGTACTGCTACGAGTTGATTGAACAGATGTTACTGTATCAACATCAGTATTGAATCTACCATTGCGAAAGGCTCATAATATGAGGCGATGTCGAAACGCATCGGGAAGAATTATGTAAAAAAGAATCGGTTTACTCACTCACCTGTGTGCAGCGCGTATAATATAATACGGATAGCGATCGAGCGATCGACGTGTGGAGCAAATTTAATTAAGCGATCGACAATTGAGCCTCGGCGATCATGTGTAATGTAATACAACAACGATCGGCAGGCGGCCGTAACGACGACGATAATTATGGTCGTTTCGGGCGCGAGGAATAAATAAAAAAGGCTCAGACCGGCGCTGGCTGCACAAACGCGCGGTACACATGACTCTATGCGTTTAATAATAGATTGTTTCTCCTGCGGCCGCGGCCAGTCCACTGCCGCGCGACGAGCAGTACATAATATCATCATAAGTTAATTCAACATATAAGTTATGAGAGGCGCGTGCGAAAAATGTTTCTCTCGCCGCACCGGAGTCTCGCCATTCAACGTCAATCATATATAAAAAACACGAATAACCGCGTAGTAGCGCGAGTATACACGCGTTTGATATAAGTTGTATGTGCCAGGCGCGTGCACGGCAGTGGGCTCTCAATGCTATACATGAGCTCTTCTCACGAATAAACCATAGTTCCATGTACGCGCGCAATTGTGACGATGCATACATCTAATTACTTTATAGGCATGAACGACCGTGAACGATCGTGCGCGCGCGGACGAGCAAAATCGAATTTCTACGCATCGAGCGCGTGACGTCCAAAGCGGAATCGTCACCTTATCGAATCCGATCAATCTCATCATCTCGATCTCGGATCGATATGCTTACTCGATTCATCTTATGGCTAAATATCGAATGCGTTGGATTTTAATGTACAGTGATTTTATAAAAAGGTGATGCATCTTCTTGCCCATAGGATAGTATTACGCAATATTATTCCAGCGATCGCACGTGCATTTCACAATATAGCATCGATTCAAAAGCACATACAATATAGAGAGACTTTCCTGTAATATTTTAATTGTGGCCAAGGCGATCTTGACACAGATGAGCTTGATACGCGAAGAGATCACGACAAAGAAAAGTGCCGATGTTGCGCAATACCGCGGCCGCGTGTGCACGTACGAGCGACTCTGTATGCCATACATATACAACTCTATATATTCATGCGGCGCATCGCGACTGCATCGCAAGTACGTAAATTGTGGCTCCCTTTACAATTTGGTATTAAGTCCGGCTGAGACGCTTTTTCGGCGTTAAAGAGACTTTTGTGTATCCCGACTCTTACTACGTGGTGAAAAAACCCTTCTATCGTCTTTTCTTTGCTTTATTTTTTATGGTTTTCTGGTCAATTTTTTTATATTTTTAGTAAAGTAGTTTTACATTATAAAATACAAATTGAGAAAAAATCGACGTTTTATGAATGGAATCAAATCAGCCCCGTAAGAAACGAAAGAGTACACTGCGAAAAATATTTGGCCCGATCAACCAAGGCGTCATTGTTTCAATGAAATAATTTCTTCGCGGGCAATCAATTGATTAATTCCATTGTTTCTATGAAATATTCTATCAAAATTTACAAAATATTTAATAGAAGCAAACTATTAATTTTAATAATAATACACGACATATAATTGAATTGTCAAAATAATTTAATTATTTGCAATACAATTTGATTTTAGAAATGATATTTTTTGTAAAATCAATTAAAAATTTCGTTGTATTGATAAAATATTTCGTAACAATATTTTGAATGAAACTAAGTTCATCCACTTGATGAATCAAGTAGTCCTAACAATGAAGCATTTTGTCAATTGAGTGAAATGTTTACTTGGTATGTCTGCCAATCAAATATTTCATCGAAGTAATCATAATTTTATTAATTTTATTTATTTATTTCATTAATTTAATGAAATATGAAATATGAAATTTTTTCTTAGTGTATAAATTGGCTTACTTTTAGCCATTTTTTTGTTATAAATTATGTTAAGAGTATTCAGAAAATTTTAAATGATCTAAAAATAAAAATTTAATCTTTTCCAAGTAATAAACCACCACTAGATGGCGAGCACATTCATCTGAAAAACTGCAAGTGGCAAAGTAGAAATAATTCTATAAGTAATGTCAGTCAAACAGTGTTTATCTTCAATTAGGTGGGTGTATTTCATTTTGACTTTGATTGTAAACGAAAAAGAGAATCGTAGACTTATATAACTGGAGTTAGAAAACTCTGTGATAATGATGAAACGACGGCTGATATTGAAAAAAAGACAGGATTTGAATCCCTCCATTTTTCGTTCAAATCGTTATCAACATTTAGACTATTTCTCCTTACGGTTTTGGCTAATAAAAATAAGTAACTATTGAATTATCAGCAAAGCGGCACACTTCTATGGGCATTAATTATAACATGTGTCGTATCGTCTTTTAGCCGATAATATTATGAGATTTTCTCACTCGCTAACAATTGACTCTACGAAAAAATGTTAAAGAACAAAAAGTGCTTAGAATTGATAAAGAAACACGGGTGAATTTTTTCAGAATTTTTCGGATGATTTAGGATAATTTTGGAAATGGCCATTTTATAAAAATTTCCAAAATCATCCAAAAAATTCTAAAAAAATTCACACATGTTCTTTATCAATTCTAAGCAGTTTTTGTTCTATAACATTTTCTCATAGAGTCCATTCTTACCAAGTAAAAAAATACCAAAGCTTTTTTTAAATTGTCGGCTATAATCTGCTGTTTCTGTGGCTACCATCTTGAATCTGGATGAATCAACGCCACTAAGTTTTAGTATAGGCCTATATGTCACCAGATCCAGAGTTTTAACCCGATCCGAATACGCAATACGATCATTTTGAAGACAAATGTTCAAAAACTACGTTTTTTTTGGTTTAAACAAATGTATTTTTAAAACAGTGGCATATATCGTAAATCTGATGCCAGATTTGAATAGAGCGATAAAAATCCCATTATGTATGATATTTTTACATTAATTTAATAATGGTTTTGTAAAAAAATAATGCGTGGAAAAATAAGTCAAAGTTAGGGTCTCTAGGTATTGAAAGGGTAAATGCTAAAGGTAAAGACACTTTGTGAGCTGAAGTAGCAGACATACCATAATCTGTAATTACAAATAATAATTCAGAGTTGCATTTGAAATTTAAAAATCTTACATTTGTCAATGTATTTCATATTGAAGAGGTTCTTTTACTTTTATTCAATTCCTCGTTTCGATGTTTTGCTTGTTTTGTTAAAAAATATAAGAAAATGACAATAATACATATATTTATAATATTTATAACATTGTGTAGACAAAAAACTACGTAGGTGTTGCCTTAAAACGTGGGGGTTGAAGTTAACATTGCGTCAAGTATGGAAATATCATTAAATAGGAAATTATACATAAAAATACGTGAATTAATAAAAAAAATCTAGTTAAAGTTTCGAAAAAATCTGAATAGTTCTAAAGTTTTTACAGGACTTTTTTCAAAAACACATCGTTCTTTAATTGAGCAATTTTGAGTTTCAGATACCATTCAGTGCGCATAAAATTATTTTTCAATTTCAATCATCATTATTTTAAGTCTAGGCCTCGTTACTCATAATTCAAACATAAGGTCTTAAATTATTTCCCCGTGAAAAATCGCAATAAAATCACGTTTTTTCATAAAATCTTGTTTAACTTTGGACATGTAAATTTTCTCAAAAATCTGAGATCATACAAGTTCATGAATTTTACATCGTAAATTCTCTAATTTCATATCTTTCAACCCTCATCTTCTTGGTGAAGCAACGATTGAAAATATGAATTATATGTCATAGCAGCAGCTGCCAATCATAAGAGTCCCGAAAAATTCCCGACTCATCGTTACACGGCCCTTTACACGCATACATTATCGTAAAAAAGTCACCCCATACGATAAAATAATATCACGCGTGTGTTCCGGGATATACGCGTACGATCGAATTGACAATTCATCGTGAGGCGAGAGAAAAAAATGTCAAATTCGTAAAATCTCGTGTATTTGCTCTTTAAGTGTAGAATGTGACATACGTCCCGCGCGTCGCGCGCAGCTTCACACTTACTATAACACGTGTGTAGCCCATAATAGATACAAAGTATCTATATTCACTATTCTCAGATATATGTGTTGAGTGTATGACGCAACGACAACGAACATATGATCGTGACTACTCGACGGTCTGTTTAAACTTCTAGATTACACATATATATCTATATCGGCGACAATATGAATAAGAAAAAGCGCATGCATATATTTATCGCAGTGATTTGACAAAAAGCCGCCATTTTTCTCATCAATTAATCTGTGCAAGCTCTCCGTACTTCCATGTTTACAGAACTACTCTCGGCTCGTTGCTATATATAATTCGATTCTCGAATACGAATCAAACAGTAGTTACAGCTGTAGTGATACAGTAACATCGCAAGCTTAGCTTCGACGACGATTCGAGACGACATCGAAAATGTTCAGGTACGGCTTGATCGTACTTTTCCTGCACTATGCAGTGCTCGGTAGCGAGGCGTCGGCGCTCCCACCGAAGAAGAAGGTCTGCGTGATCGGAGCTGGTGCCACGGGTCTGGCCTCGGCCAAGCACGTAGCCGAGTACCCGGACGAGTTCGACCTCGTGGTCTTCGAGAAGAACAGCTACGTCGGTGGCCTGTGGAACTACACGGACAGCGTCGACGTCGACGAGCACGGCCTGCCCATACACACGAGCATGTACAAGTATCTCAGGTGAGTTTCCACTTTGTTTGACCTTTTTATGCGAAAAAACGATTTTCTTAATAATAAAGTGTTAATTGTTGTGTTTTAGGACTAATCTGCCAAAAGAACTCATGGCTTTCCCAGACTACAGAGATTTCCTCGGCGAAGAGCGAAGCTGCGTCAAGCACGAAACCGTCTTGGCCTATCTACAAAACTTCACCGACCACTTCAATTTACACCAGTACATTCAGGTAAAGAGCAGTTGGAACTGTCGCTTTCATCAGTCACTCAGCAATGCTATAATTCAATTTTTTTTTCTCTCTCTTCTCGGGCACACAGCTGCACACACTGGTCGAAAAGGTCGAAACGGTAATCGGTGATGGCGACTGGCACAGCACGACCTACAAAGTGCACACCAGAAACCTCGACGACAACACGAAATCGACGACGGTCTGCAACGCCCTGATGATCGGCAACGGCCACTACTTCAATCCGAGAATACCCTCGATCCCCGGCATGGAGACGTTCCCCGGCCGCGTGCTGCACAGTCACACCTACAGAAAGCCCGAGGACTTTGCCGGACAGACTGTAGCCGTACTCGGCGCCTCGGCGTCGGGCACCGACATCAGCATCGAAGTCGCCGAGACGGCCCAAAAGGTCTACCTCAGTCACAACAAAGACAGGTGAGTTACAATTAAACGTCGATGCGCGATATTCGAGTGCGGTAAAAATCACGACTTTATACATTGACGCCTTTTTCAGAATCAAGAGCGAACTGCCCGCTAACGTCGAGCAAGTTTCCGGGGTGGTCGCCGTCGATGGCAATACTCTGACACTCAAGGATGGCACGACCATCACTGCCGATGCCTTCATTTTCTGCACCGGCTTCACCTTCACTTATCCATTCCTGGACGAGAGCAGCGGCATCAAAGTCATCGACAATCAAGTCTATCCGCTCTACAAGCACTTGGTGAACATCGAACACCCGTCCATGGCCTTCGTTGGACTACCTCTGCTCGTAGTCCACTTCCCCTTGTTCCACGTTCAGGTAATTATCGATCTGACTTTTGAACATGTTTTAAATTACTCAATTGCAACTTAACACGCAACTTGTGTCATTCTTATAGGCAAAATACTTTGTGGCTCTTCTCCGCGACGAGTTCAAATTACCGAGCAAGGAGATCATGATGAAGGACACGGAACTGAACGGCAGACGCCAGAGATACGCTCACTTCCTGGGCGACGCTCAGTGGGACTACAACGACGCCCTGGCCAAGGAGGCCGGTTTCGAGCCCATTCCCGGCTACTATCGCGAGGGCTACGCCATGTGGCACGCCTATCGCACGGCCAGGGTCTTGCACTACAAGGAGAGCGACCTGCGCATCGACGAGAACGGCAAGCCCACCATCGTCAACCCCAAGTGAGGGGCCTCTGCATCGCACTACACCGATCAATCATTCCAAATCGCTTTTTATTTGACGTACCTAATAAGCAGCGATGACAATTCATTATGTTTCACTTTTTGTAAATATTTAACGTCGTGATAAAAATAAATATAATTAGATTTTACTCGATTCGAACATTTTTTTCTTAAAATTTCATTTCTAAAAAGTTTAAGCTAGAGTAATAATACAGCTTTTAAGAAAAGAAAACATCCGCGAAAATTGAATGAGATTAGCCCACATTAGCTTGGTGTAACCGCTCACTTAATACTGTAAGATTGCGAATAAGAAAAAAAATACATACTCGATCGAGTCTGGTCCAAGCAATGTTGAGCGAGCTCCGCACTCTGATTTCCATTTTATCGAATCTAATTTTCGAGCGCTTTTAGCCACGCGCAAGTTTTTGTGCGTACACGTTTGGCGTCAGAGCTAAACGATATCGATGTTAACGAACAAAAAATCACATAATTAGCATATTATCTTATGCAACTGTCGGGCAATGCACGTATACTACGTGAAAAAATGCTCCTTCCAAAAGTCATAAACAAAATTTTTCGCGACAGTGAAAGAGAAAGAAGGAGAGAAGTGGCGACTAATACGATTCCGGTGAATGTTATAAGTCAGAATCGTGTTAATCCAAAGCGCTGAGCTGATAACGTCAACGAGATAAGATGCTAAGTTCGTTACAATGTTGGCGTAAATTAAGCGTATATGTATGTAATATGTATCGTATTTTTGCAACGAGATGTCAACGATTTTTCCGACGAGTTATGTATTTTGCATAACTCGCATCGTCCAGTCTCTCGTTTCAATGGCAAACATAATATAAAATAAAAACGAAAGAGACAAATCGAGAAATTATATGATCGGACTCGAAACTTCCGTATCGATGCAGCAAAAAAACCCCACTCTCTGACGCTCGTAATGTCGATGACACCGATCGTCGGACGAAAAAATAAAAATAAAAATAAATACAATTTGACGCAGAAAAAGGAGATGATTGCGGCGCGTGCACATGTGTAAGCAAAACTAGAAGGCGATCCTGGAACAAACAACAATCTCTCTCTCTCTCTCTCTCTCTCTCTTTCTCGCTGGTGTCGGATGAATCATCGCATGGAATATTTATTGTTCCAGCGGCGATGTGCATTATACGCTATTAAAAAGCTCGACGCATACACACGATCTTCCACGCTCATATCTATAATGCATACATCCTGCCGTAACATACACACAGACACATATTTTCCATTCGCGCAACAATCGTCTAATTACTCAAGGTTCATGGCAATTGTGTGTACGTGAGCTCGAGTATGTATATTTTGTGCTATACGTGTATAATAGCGCATCTATATAGACATATTCAGGGCAGCATATCGCTGCGATGGATCGAGGACTGAGTTTATCACGTGCAGTCGTCGCAGCAGCTCGATTATGGCAAGCACGACGCATACCGATCTCGCAACTGTACTCGGGGCTTCGGCAAACGATCTCGGAAGAAGAAGCGAGAGATGGAATAAAGAGCTGCATTTATAGCTATCGGACCTATCCGATATAGACTTGTCCCAAGGAAAACCACTCGTGTTTGACTCATCGTCGACTATAGTATTATAATGCTAAGCAATGGGTCTGAAAAAATCCGTCTACTCTCGCGGCGGTGCAACGCGCGGAATTGTGCAGTTCTGCTGCTGCCTTATAGCGAGCTCGCGCGCATTATATACCGACGTGATTGTATCTTAATGAATCTGCGAGCGAGCGCAGACGCTAAATAAACACACTCGTTCAACTATATACACAGGTGTTTTGTCTCTCTCTCTCTCTCTCTCTCTCCTCATACCGCTATCACTCTCACTCTCCAACTACACGTATTTCTCTCTCTCTGTCTCTCTTTTTGCCGCTGCAGTCACCGCCGCGTACATGTACATCGAGAGTACAAGTTTTTATAGCAATTGCAATCATTGTTGCGGCTCGCCTGGCGAAAAGTAGAGCTGCTGCTGCTGCTGCTTCCCAGCTTATTAAGGAGCAGCTATAAATATCCACGAGTTTGGTATACGCGTGTTTGACACTCGTCGAGGCACAGATTGACGCGTGTAGTTGCGCGCGTTACACGACATGCACCGCGAGTGATTACACGTAAGATATCGATCGATAGATCGACAACGGCGAGACGGAGATAAGCCGCTTGACGAAAAGAAGCGGAGACGAGAGATTCGGGTGACGGCAGGAGCAAGTCGATCGAGTTAAGTAGTTTTTGTCTTTTTTCGTTGTTCGCGAGTCGTCGTCGTTGGTCATCGAGTGGAGATTGCGTGCGGGCCGATCTTATATCGCGCGCGTCATTCGAGTGATTTTCGGTGCCAAAGGTGATCGGCATGGATCAGCTCAATACGTCACTGCGGATCGACGATCGAGATCAAGGCTCTCTGGACGCGGCTGGCAGGTAAGAGAGTGTATTTACATTGTACTATAAAGATGACGAGTGCGAGAACAATAGAGGGGAGATCGGCCAAGTGCGGCGGCCGGCAATCGCAAGGACGATTACGGGGAAGCGCGCAAAACGATTTCGCGGCACACGCGGCGATCAAATTCGGCCTTGCGCGTCGTTGTTACTTTTGCTGTTGCAATGACCCATCGGTGGTGCGTGTCGAGAGTCTCGAGACAAGACCTCTCGGAGATGCAAAAAAAGACCCGATTTTCCAGTTTGCGTATGGCATATAGTAATAATTTTCCCTTCGCGTGCGGGTCTCTCTCTCTCTCTTTCCCTCTCTGTGTCTGCGTCGGTACTCGCGTAACGCCGAGAAATCGTGTCGCGATCTCTCGCGCCGACAGCCCGTATTATTGCGTTATTATACGCGCGAGCGTAAACGAGGATATCGGTAAGTGTATCTGTGTGTATATAATACAAACTCGTATATGTACATCGCGAGACGATAAAACTTGCGAGAAAGAGAGACATACAGAGGCAGAAAAGTCTGCAGCGCAGGTAAACGCGTATCGAAGGATGCGACGCTCTCAATGGTGGGGTACGAAGGTATGCTTGTAGTACGATGCACACACGCGGTGAAAGTTCAATGATGTTTTGAATATGCGCATTCATATATATACAAACAACGCGAGACGCGCGCCTTACGGTAGGATACGCACAAATACATGCTCATATCGGCGTCGCGTGCGTGTATATTTACGATATTGTATATACGCGCGCATACGCACGTATATTATACGCACGATCGGCTCGGCATCTCTCTCTCTCTCTCTCTCTTTCTCAGCGGGTCGTTTGTGTGTGTATATATTATATGCAGCGTACGTTGGCGCGGACTTGGCCGACCGAGAGGCAGTAATGGACAAGAGCCGACCGCAAGCGGACCTCCTTCGACCGAACGACGACGGACCTCTCGAGACAGCTCCTCTCTTACATAGTACACGCAATCGAGTTCGTCGATACAATTGACAGAAAGATAGAGACAGCTACGTCGCGTAGCAGGTGTAACCCCAGAGAGTGTGTGTCGCAACGTGTAGCAAGTGATACGATCAAATGTAAATAATAATCACGTACCGATTTATTAATTAGAATTAACGATTTCGTCGTCTGCAGTGGTGCGCCGATCATAAAAATTCGCACGTCGAGTCGAGCGCGTCACCGCTCCGCAAGTTAATCGCCAAGATTGCGCTTTTTGTGTTATCACGTGTGTGCATAATACGTTGCTCTCTCCGTGTACCTGTGTGTGTGTGTGTGTATCTGTGCGTTCCTCGCTGTCTCGCGCGCGCTCGCGAAAATAATAAGCGCGAGCCGCGAGCCAAGCCGAAAGTGTCGTGGGCGCACGTTTGTGCCGATAATAGAGATTTTGGACTGACGCAGATTTGATTATGTCGGCCAACGTGCCGATCGGGTATCTTTATAAGAGATCCTTTTTTATTTTTTTTGTTCCATCTTCGCCTCGCGCTGATCGTATCGTTGCGTTCAGTTCATCGCGCGGTCAAAGTATAATATCGTGGATTGTGCGCGAGTATGTAGGTGCGGTTGCCATTAATTATTATTCCGTTCGATAGAAAAAATTTGAATTTAGCAGAAGCTCGGATATTAAAAAAGCGGCTGACTCAAATTTATAATGCGTGCTAAATCAAATGTGTAGATTATGCGTGATCGGGACTGCTGCACGCAGACGCGCAGTGCTGCTAACGTTGCGAGGCTGCAGCTGCAGCTGAATAAGTAATAGCTTCCTGCTTGTAATCGGCAAATTATAGTGACGATTTACTCGAGATTCAATCATCGATTCTGGAACGTGATCTTATTATTTACCACATGCAGTGTGTGTACCTCTCGTGTTAGACAATAGACGACTGTGGCAGGCGGCGGAGACGCGGCGGGAGTTCGTTGCGGCCAATGTGTATCTCACCTGTGTATTCAATAGCAACAGATCCGCGTAAAAGTCCTCGCGCACGATTGTCCATAAATTATTTTTATCGCAATAATTCGAAATGCCTATAAACATGAATTATACGCAGGCGCAGCAGCGGCATTACTCGCTGATTTTTTAATTGTATTTCTACACGTGCTGTGTATATACTTGTATGTGTGTGTGTGTGTATATTAATGCGTGCGCTTATGTGCATCTGCGCGCGATATCGATTCGATCAACGAGCGCAATCGCGCGTGGACTGCACCCGTGGAAAACAATGATTTATGTAGATTTATACGCTCCGCGCGCCGATCATCCGGACGAAAGCAAAGAACCTGTTTATTGACATTGGCTGCGATTTTATATCATAATTTACCTGCACATCGTTTACGTGCCGATCGGCGAGTCCCATTTATTAACTATACTATACTATGCTATTATAAGATCGATATGAATAATTTGGTGGAATATTTTGTCATTCTTTGATCGATATATATCCGGGTCTAGCTGCCTGGTCCACTGCTCTTGTTTTGGTCCACTAATTGCTCCGAAATCTTTGATGAATAACGCTTGCCGGTGCGAAAGGCCAATCGCGTTTTCAACTCGTTACACCAAAAAACGTTAAAGGTGTAATCCATCAAGGCTATGTAGTTCAATGTTGCCATTACGTATGGGAAAGATTTTGATTCACGGATCTTTTAATCCTATCCAATAAAATTAAGCAAGCGTGTCTAACGCAGTTACGCTTGTCCATATCAATTAGCAGAAAAAAAAGTCGATCGAGAAAGCATAATAGCAAACACAGTCGTTACACGATATTTACGTATCAACATTATACGACGACAATTTATCTTAATAAAAGTTGTTAAATATTTAACCTCGGGTAAATATATATGTATGATACAACGAACGTCTGTATTTAATATAAAATCGTCGGCAATTCCTAATTGCTGCGGGTATTATCGTGAATTCGAAAGTAGCAGCACGTAGTTCAGTTTTGCTCGGGCAGCCGGCACATACCTGTACATACAATACAGCATGTACTTATAAATGCCGATATAGACTTTTGAGGAAAAGAACCAGAAATCGGTAAAGTGCATAAGCTGCAGGTGCCACGAGACAGTATAGAAAATCGTCACACATAACGACGAAAGAAAATGTAAGCTGCACAACCGACGTTGGCTGATCGGCAGTGACAGCTGTACAAAATTGATAAATCCATCGTGTAACATAATTGTAATGGGTTTGTATTTAGGGCCAGCTCAATGAGCCATGGGATCCAACTGCTGCTGTTCTTCGTCTACCTGTTCCAATTGGCGTGGAACGGCGAGGCGGCGGCGGCGTCGGCAGCGAGCTCCAGCCGGGGCAGGAGCAAGGTCTGCATAGTCGGGGCCGGCGTCACGGGCATAGCCGCGGCCAAGGCGTTCGCCGACTATCGCGACGAGTTCGACATCGTCGTCTTCGATCGCAACTCGGACGTCGGCGGACTGTGGATCTACACGGACAGCCAGGACCTGGACGAGCACAATCTGCCCGTGCACAGCAGCATGTACTACAATCTCAGGTGAGTCCGCGACTCGTTGAAAATTCGAAGGACGCGATATCCATGTGGGATATATCCTTGCAGAACGAACCTGCCGAAGGATCTCATGTCTTATCCGGACTACCGCCAGTTCTCCGGTGAGAATCGCAGCTGCGTCAGCCACAAGACGATCGTCCAGTACCTGCGCAACTACACGGACTACTTCGACCTGCGAGGATACATGAAGTTCGACACGCTGGTGGAAAAGATCAGGCCGATCGTCGGAGGCAGCGACGATGACTGGCGCACGACGAGGTGGAGCATCAAGACCCGAGACCTCAACAGCAACGTGAGCGCCGAGACGACCTGCAACGCCGTCGTCGTCTGCAACGGGTGAGGAATGACAATGATTAAAAAACTACGTAACGCGATGGCGATCGGTGAAAGCTGCGCACGATCGCGCATTAACAATACAAGAATTAACGCAATAATATCGTGTACGTGACGATTGTTGGACAGGCACTACACGAAGCCGCGAGTGCCACAGATACCCGGCATCGAGAGCTTCCCGGGCTTGGTGATGCACAGCCACATCTACAGGTACCCGCAGGAGTTCGCCGGCAAAAATGTGCTCGTGCTCGGGGCAGCTGTGTCCGGCATCGACATCAGTATCGACATCAGTAGGTACGCCAGGCGCGTCTATCTCAGTCACAACAAGGACAGGTGAGTGTTTTTTCGATCGAACTAATACGCGAGAACGTACTTCTATATTCGGCTTCCGTGTGAGTTTAGAATCAAGAGCCAACTGCCGCTGAACATCGTGCAGGTGCCCGGCGTGGCCTCGGTCAACGGCAGCATATTCACCCTCAGGGACAACTCGACGGTCAAGGTGGACGCCGTGGTGTTCTGCACGGGCTACGTCTACGATCTGCCCTTCCTGGACGAGAGCAGCGGCCTCAAGATCGACGACAACTACGTCAAGCCGCTCTACAAGTACATGCTCAACGGCGAGCACCCGTCGATGGCCTTCGTCGGTCTGGCGCTGGACGTGGCCCTGTTCCCGCTGGTCGACGTCCAGACCAAGTACTTCGTGGCGCTGATGCGCGACAAGGTCAAGCTGCCCGGCCGGGAGGTGCGCCTGGCCGAGAGCCTGCCCAAGGCCAAGCAGGGCGACCAGCTCAGCGAGAAGGAGAAGAAGTACGCCCACGCTCTGGGTGCCAAGCAGTGGACCTATCAGCAGCAGCTGGCCCAGGAGGCCGACTTCGAGGCGCCGCCGGACTTTTACAGGCAGGCCTACAACATGTGGAGCGCCTATCGCAAGACCGACCTGCTCCATTACAAGGACGGCATGCTCAGAGTCAACAAGAACGGCGCCATCGAAATCATCCATCCGGCCTACAAGCAGTTCGAAGTTTGATCCGCTTCGATTTCCCTTGCTGTTTTTTTTTATATAATTTTTACGATTACTTCAAACTCGAATAGTTAGGCTTTTATATTAAAACGACGTTCGTACGCATCTACGACTGAACTTTTTCAAATGCGAATCAAAGCGGATCAATTGTTTGAATCAATATGACGTTTGGCAAACATGTATTTTGTACATTTTCGACCGAGAATCGAGATTATTTTTATTACGAGGGAATCACGCTGAAACTCAAAGTTTCGCGATGATATTCTCGTGTTTGGTATTCGCCACTTCTCATCGAGGATCGATGTCCATGTGATTTTCATCGGAAGCCTCGACACATGATATAGATTTTTTTTAAGAAACCCTAGATTACGATGTTTAATTTTGACATTAGAATATACGTGTGATAGAATAGGATATGTAAAAATTTTTTGATTTTTAATAAATTTTAGTGAGTCTAGAAATAAACTTCAATAGCATTTAATACGATGTGTATGCGAATACTTTTGATTCGGTTCCTTATTCACAAATTCCACCTACATATTTCTCTAACCATCAATCAATACGTTTTTAATTCCTAGAATTGAAACGTGTAAAAATAATCCAATCAATTAAAAATTGTAGCAATGATGAATTCAAAAAGTTTGCCCATCTGTATCGGGTACAACATAATATGAACTTGACCGAACGGAAATTCCCGAAATTCCTGATTTACGGCAAAACCAAGAACGTCATTGACTGGTTTAGCGGATGATTTAATTCATTCCGGGAAAAAATGTTTACCAAATCAAAATTTATATGTAAACGAGATCTTAATTGGCACTAATAAAATTTAAAAGGCGATTATAAGTTATAACTTGTCTTTTCTCGCAAAAAATTCTCTTATGAAAATATTCGAAGGTATATCATAATTACACGATTGCTCTGTTTGTTTAATTCACAGGCATGATAAAAATATCGAATCATATATAGATCTTAAATTGTGCGACGTCAGTTTCGCATCGACAGGAGTCTATCAATTAAAAAAACAATATTTAATTTTCGATTCGTCCGATAAAGAATTGATAAAACTATGTAAAGAGAGAGGAGATGGTTCCATAAAAATAATCGCGATCAATCCTCCATGCAATTTATCGATGAAATATTTTATACTTAACAAATAGTTTTTTTGCATAACCTGAATCTCTCTTGAATTTCATTTCCTTGCGAAGTCGCCGACTCGTTCGTTGTCTGTTACGTTACGACATATGCCCATGAACACTTGAGACTTCTTCGGGTGCATCGATGCAGCTGAAATATTTTGAGTAACTCGCCATGTTGGCTGTACGGCGATACTTACAGCTTTACATGTAAACAAGTCGCAGCCGGCTATGCGTTGAAATGACGTAAAATTAGGCGCGAGCCTCGCAGCGCCAGTGCCAGTTACAGATTACCCGCCAAATGCTTATCACGACGCTTTTCCAATTTACATTCAACTTTGTAATCGATGGCTTGTAGCCAAGCGATAACAACACGAAATGCCGACCGGTGAGTTGATATTACTTACGTATACCATATAATAAACACACGCGAGTTTTTAACTTGCAGACCGTTGCGTTTCGAAGGTTATGTCGAACTGTCAGTTAACGTTGTTGTTGTGCATTTTGAATTCCGACTGTGCTAGAAAACAAAAATAATGATGAACTCCGTTTACAGTTTCGTCGAGTACGAGGCAAGAACTGGGTGCAGTTATAAAAAAATTCAAATTCGAAGAATTGGAGTCAGCGGTCCTGCCAGTCTTTCCTGAATTAGAATGGAAAAAAATAAAATCCAAACTTGTAAAAAATCATCAGAGCTTTAAGACAGCCAATGCTCTTCAAATTATTGAAGCTGGCATAGAAGTGAGAAAAATTGATATAATTTAACATTTTAAACTACATAAGTATTTTATCACTATTACTATTTTATTTCCTAATTTATAAACACAGCAAAGAGAAGAATTTGATGACAAGGTCCTTAAAGATCGCTTAGCACTTTTACGAGTAATTGGTGAGTATCAACTAACGACTACTGCTCTTAACATTCTCCATTTAACTTTTAATTAATTTTAAAGATGTTAGCAGACATTACTACAAAAAAATTTGGTATGGATATGAATTGAAAGGTAAAGAAGCTCCAGATCATCCTTCGGAAGAAGACATTGAATCACAGGTTGAAAACTGTGCTGTTGAATACCATATGAATATTATCTGTCATGTCGTAAAATATGACAGTCTCATATTTATTTCCATGCAAGAAAAACCGAGGAAAAAAAGAGCAGCTAAACCATCACTGCCAACTTATTTTTGTGTACCAGAGGATGAAAGTTGTATTTTTTGTTGCAAAAAAATTATTCTTAAAAGTTATCTGACAACATTGACTGCTGCTCTGGGTTATAAAAGTTGTAAACAAATAAAGTTATTTGGAAAATCAATCCCATCCTTGGTTAAATTATTGAGAGCAAGAAAGGAAGCTATAGCTAAGGGAGATCACATAAAAGATGCACCAAGATTAAGAAAAGCACCACCTGTTCAAATGTTAGTATAAGATTTCTATACAATTATTTACCAATTGAAACAACAGAAAAATATTCATCAGTAATTTTTTTTAGCGCTATGGGAACAGATTTTACTCAACACACTCATCGCAGAGATTATATTAACAAAATCTTAGGAGAAAATCCCCCAACTTTTGAAACATTAAGAGTTAAAAATATTGATGAAAAGTGGAGGCACAAAGATGCTCTAGAAAAATTTCCTGACGAAGTTGTTTTTACAGGGTAATTTTTAATTATTTTTCACACTATTTCAAAAATATTAATTCATTTTCTTTTTCATTATAGCATTGAATTTCGAAGTACAAGCATTCCTAATCTCCTAAGGAATTTGGTTTATCACAAAATTCTCTTAACTCCTACGCCAGTGTATGCTACAAATATTCTAACTTTAGGAAGAAATGAACTGTCTGTTACAGGTGCTAACAGGTGAAGAACTTGTTAATGTGTGTAAAGTGTAAATATATTTTACTGGATAGTTCATATCTATTATTGAATTGTAAAAATGATGTAATTAATTGGTATATTATTAGTATCAATGTTTATAAATGAATCACGCAACATACAACTAATATTGACGACAATAAAATAGAAACTGAGTGAAACTGTACTTTGAAAGTATGCAGATAAATATTTTAATAATGACAATGCTTTCCATAATATTTTTTTATCAAAAATCACTTTGCTCAGTTAAATATGCTGGTCATAAAATAGATCATATTTAATAACATAAAAATAATATAAATAGTAGAAAATTATTCAATGGATTCTTTATAATAAGATGTTTGACTCTTCGATTTACAACAAACTTTTTTTTAAATGCTTAAACATTTAGTTCTATCACAAAAATTATATTTACAATCATTCAAAGTCTGAGTCTGGATCACTACAGTCTTCACTACTTATACTAGTTACATCAGAATCATCAGCTTCTAAAATACATTTATCACATTGACAAATGAACAAGTATTGCGATTTCAAAATTTTTTGACGACTGTGTCTACTTCTGGAAGTGTGACACTCATCTAAATAGGAAATGCATATTTCTTGTCCAGGATGCATGTCTTGTATAGCTTTTACAGCTAAACGACTATTACCATGAGGAAATTCCACAATTGCATTAGGGAAACAACTATGGTTTATACATGATTGCAAGCTGTATAAACCAGATCCTTCATTATTCAAAAATGTTCCAACAACTAAAATAATACAAAAATATATTTTAGAAACATTGTACTACATTATAAGTTTACTAACTTAACTGATCTACATTGTAAGTAATTAGGTAAGTTATTTATTTACCTTCTTCTATATCATCATAAATTTTGTCAATGATCGCATCTATATGCTTACGTTCATTTCTTGGCAGTTCTAAAGCTTCAAGATTTTTGGTCCACTTACTGAGTGGGCTTGAACCAATTCCTTGCCCGTTAGTACCAATAAGAGCCATCAAGTTTCTAAATCCCTCTTCAGTAAACCACTGTAAATAAAAATAATTTTTTCATAAATTTAAGTTAAAAAATATAAAAGTATATACATGGAGATCCTCTGCATACCTCTGGAACAAGATGAGTATCAACAGCTTTGCAGACCATCTGTCTAAGAACATCAATCTGACCAATAAATTTATCTCCTAATAAATTGTGAGTAATTTCTTGAGCTTCATTAACAGTTTTATTGCAGAATTGGGAAAAAGCAGAAATAATAGCTTGCTTATCTGTTGCTTGATTGATCATAGCAACCATTCGAGGTATCAACATTACAGTTGCAGTCTCAGGTGGATAATGCATTTGTTTCCATGTTTCTTTTAATTGTACAAGTGGGTGGAAATCATTGATATCTTTTGTCTGTAAACAAAGACTTTGATGATACCTGGAAAAAACAACTCATTTAGTTTTTTAATAAAAAAAGCAAGATCAAAGTTGAAAAAAAAAATACCTTGTCAAAGCTTCATTCAGACAATTGGAACTGCAAAATTTGGTACCACAGGCTTCGCATTCTGTAATGGAAGCTTTATCTGTCTCGCAACATTCAGGGTATGGCAACATTAAATTCTTATTGTTTGTCAAGCGCCTAACATTTTCTTCTGCAGTCTCTAAAGGTTTAAAACAAAAGTCACAGGCCAAATATTTGTATTCTTGATTCCAAGCAAATTGACAGCTAACCAAGGGATTTTCTTCAAAAATAACATCTCCTTCTTTGTAGTATTTGGTCGCAAATAACCCTTTGCCCTGGAGGTAATAATAGCAGATATAATTTGAGTTACTTTTTACAAAAAATTAGATTGCACTTCTATTTGAGTAAATTGCAGTAAAAACTTACTTTCAGATCATCAACAATTCGAACTTCGTAACCAGATTGCTCCATTGCTGAGACAATGAATTGTTATCACTTTAATACTATTAATTATATTAATTGTCGTTTCAGTTTCTGTGCAGTCAATAACTCTAATGCGTTCTATTAACCTTTCCGAAAAGTGCGGAACTAAACGCACATGTGCTTTTATACTGCTTACTTTCGAAATCTTTAATATTAGGGTGTGACGAAGCGCAGACGAAACAGCCTCGCAACTGAGATCAGTGAATCTTTCATTTATATAATTTGTCAATAAGATTCTGACAGTAAAATAAATGGAAACAGATAATTAATAAGATTACTCATCAGATTTGATAGTTTTTAATATCGTAAAAAAATAGAAAAATGAAAGTTATTAATGATCGCTTGTTAGAGTGATTTGAATTATCGAGTTAAGTGACGGTCCCGAAAGAATGACAAAGAACAGAATGACTGAACGCCGTAAAGCCGACAGCGCTCCTCACGCGCTTACAGGCTACAGGCTACGGCCGACAATTGTAGTGTCAAGCGCATACGTTGCCCTGCAGTCGTACGTTTGCTTACCTCAGCAAAGCATCAAAGACCAAAGTGCTAGCTTTTCATCTGTCGCGATCAGTCAGCTCGGAGACTTATTATTACTCCAACTAAACATTTAAATTACTTTTTTAAAGTTAACTCGCGATCGTCGTCTATTACGTCCACAAAATGGCAACCATGAACGGAGTTATGCAAATGGTAAGTGCGATTGCATTTTTCTGTATACGATAAGCGTGCTTTTGTGAAAGTGGTCGATATAGCCAGCAAAAACATCATGGCGGACGCGGAGATTACGTCTTATGTTTCTTTCCGTGGTGATGTTGTTGACAGTATGGAAGAATTATTTTCTATTATTTTTCGCTCTAATGACATAAAGAAAATTAGACATCTTCATAGCTCACAGTTTCATTACGAACTGGTGCGATTAAATCGTGACGTTGAATATCCACTTATTCACGATATGCCAGCTGAAAGTAAGACTCCCCTCCAACTTATGACCGGAACGAAATATTTACGTTCTGCTGGGGAGTTAAGAAAAGTCCCTAGGCCATGAATCAAACAATGGTTAATTTGATCAAAATTTATAATAATCATATAGTATTCTAAATTAATCAAATTAAATGCCTTGAAATAGTGCGTGTAGTTTAACATACAAATCAACATTATTTGTCGTTATTATAGGCACGATTACGATATCCGTGGCACCGCAATGTTATCATCAATTCCAACAGGGGACACTAAAACTTTAAATTTTGAGTGCTTAAATAGTATAATACCCACGTAGCATCTTATCGTGGGCCAGTGCTGGGCCAGTACTGACAGCGTTGGTGTCAGTACTGGAATCAATGTTGGACCAGTACTGGCTGGATACTGGAATGATAACAATAAATCAGTACTGGCAGCCAGTATTGGCCCACACTCTCCACAATCTTGGGCCAGTACTGGATACCAAAAAATATTTTTTTGATACTGGCTCGATAATGGCACCTGATATTGGGTCAGTTCTGGCATAATATTGGTTGCCAGTACTGATTTACAGTTATCATTCCAGTATCCAGCCAGTACTGGACCAAGATGAAAAAAAAAACCAGTACTGACAGCCAATATTGTGCCAGTATTGGTCCGTGATAATCGTATTGGCGCTTCTTACGTGGGTTACTGCCCTAGGCCGGGAAAAACAGAAAAGTCCCAGGGCACATGAAATAAGCAACCGAGGCGAAGCCGATAATTATTATAGATAATTTGAAATCAATTTAACTATAAATAGCAAACGACTCGCAAGCAAAGTAGTAATTACTACTAACCAATCATTTTAAATATTATTATGACTATTATCAATTTTATTGTTTTTTACAAGTAAATCTTTTTTTAGCAGGCCTCAGTGATGCATGAAAATATGGGGGAACCTGTCATGAAGAAACCAAAACTTGAAGGTAAATTGCTAAAAGATTTTATATATCATCTATATCATTGTTACAAATTTGGTAGTATCACCTTCCTGAAATCTGCAAATTAAAGAAGAAAAATGTAGGAAAAATTTATTATCTAGCATTAATTTTTACATCACATTGACACACCAAGGCTTTCAAGAGCCTGCTATGGTATAATATTCTCAAAGATGTTTTATGTATATCTTAATGTTCTAATTTTAAAAGGTATATGGGGGGAAATTAATAAATGTAAACTATTTGCTAGGCATATGGTAGGGCTGTAAACCTTAAAACTAATGTATGGTTGTCCTTCTGTTCTGAGATGTTACAGTGGAAAGACAGTACAAAATCTGTGGCCTTCGACTCAGCTGTGATCGTGAGCGCGCACCAAAGAAAAGAAAGAGAGTCAATCTGAGTTTTGCGCAAACTCTTCCACTGACTCACCACACCTAAATATGTCGAGTACATTACTATTACGAATGTTAGATAGGTCAGCATAGTAGGATAGAAAATTATTTGCTACTTTTAATTACAAATCTCTCTCTTGATACTGTAAGCTACTTAATATTTTTATTTTCAATTATAAATTAATGTTAAAAAAATTAAATATTTAAATCTTGCCGAAAGAGATTTGTATTTAAATAGAGCAGTGGCGATATTTTTTTTTTTTTTTTATAATCATATTTATATATAATTTTTTTGTTTGTTTATTTTCAATTATTTATGTAACCAGGTAAGTTTAATCACCTCCTCAATCTGGATATTCATTTTAAATCGCCACAATTACATTTTACAATTTCAAAAAAGGGCATAATCGAATTATTAGGTTGGATCAGGCAATCTTAATTGTTTAGCAAAGAGAAATTATTTCAGTATTCTTCTTTGCTTTGTGCTTACAGATCTCTGCGTCACGTCAGTCTCGGATTATTAGTATGCGCAACTCTCATTGCTTGACCATGAACATGGTTGGCCATATCAATTTTCAGACATAAACTGAAATTCATAAAATTCTCAATGTAGGCTTAAAAGTCCAGTCATGCATGATTGAAAATATATGTTTATACATGTATCGAAAAATGACTTGAATTTGTTTGAATTTATTTGTTTAAATGTCTGAACTTGAGCTCAAATATTTTAGGGAATATATTTTTAAAAAATATTTATTTTATTGTTATTTTTTTCTAAGTACCATGATTAATAAATAGACAACTATTTTTATTCAAACTGGTTGTCAGTAGACTAATGTAATACTGAAAATTTATTACTTTTTTTCAAACATATTCGGACATTTTCTGGATCTTAATGTAAAGAGCATTACAAAAATAATTTGTTTGGTCTCTTAAATATCATACAATTTATAAACATAGTATATTAATCTATACATGATGATTTTTAAAAGAATTACTTAATCTCAAATTTCTTCCCTTTGAGACAAGCATCTTATCAAAGCGTCATTTTTGTTTATTTCTGTTTCAGAAACATTATTCCAGCTGTATTGGTAGTGATTGATGCATATATTATTTTCTTTTGATTATACTCAAAATAACATTATGCATCTAAAAGTATAATGTGTGAGAATAGAGTTTATTTGACCTTAATGAACTTTAAATAAAGTCTGTAAATAATTTTTTTCTTTGATTACTTGAAATGTACAAGTATTAATCTCAATTTAATACTATAAATTTCAATGTTTCTTATGAAGAATTTCTCTTTTCTACCCATTTTATATAGGTATTATCTTATGAGATTGTTTTAATTTATTTGAGCTTTCAGTTCCATGTGGATACCTCATCATGGAAATGCTGAGTGGCATCATTTTGACCTATTAACCATGAACCAATCATGTTATATTGATTTAGTTTTTAACTGTCCTTGTGCCAGAAGTACTTTACAAAATATTTTTCAACTCAATATTCTTTGCTTTCATGTCTACTGATAATGTTGTTTTTTTTCTCAATTTTACAGAACTAAACACATGATTCTGGTTCCAAGCAATGCAAAGATCATTACTAGAATTCTTGTAAAGAAAATAAATAAAAATAAATGATAAAATAATAAAATGCTTGAACCATCAGTGACACGGAAAATATAATTGAATAAGAGAAAAAAATGTTGTGCGTTTTTAAGATAAATAAGTAGATCAACAAAAACGATGGTTCAAGTATTATAGGTTTTATTTTGAAATCATCTAATTATTATTTTTTTTACAGGTTCAGAGTTTTTAAATGGTCCTATTTATGACCTCAATCAAACAGGACAAGTAGTAGCAGGTAAATATTTTAATATTTTATTCTATTTTTATGTTCTAAGAGTCATAAACAACCATTTTCTAAGTATGTTTAAATATGATGTGTATTTACTCGTGACTTTTGTAACAAGTTGAGTCCTTTTAATTATACTTAAAAGTCGATTCCTTTAAAGTATGAGCGTTAAGCTAATAAGATCTGATATTCAATTGTGTGTACTTATTTTACATCCAAAATAGTAGGAAAACCGATATAACATTTTTTTTTTAATTTTTAGGACCTGGTGCAAAATTCATGTCACTACCTGGAATTTTAGGCGCTGGCCTACCAAAAATATCATCAGAACAGCAAGAAACTGTAACAAGAGCTAAGAAATATGCAATGGAACAAAGTATTAAAATGGTCTTAATGAAACAAACTTTAGCACACCAACAGCAGGTGAGCAATCATTTAAATCTTTTTGTGCCACCCCAACATAAAGTTGCATTTTGCTCTCACCAAGCAAAATCAAAATATTACTTTCGGCTGGGAGATTCACGAAAAACTGTATTTGTATTTAGCAAAAAAAACTCAGAGTATGTGATATCTGCCTTGGCTGATAAATTATACATTCTCCGAGAGTTTCCAGTTTTTCACTACCTACCCCTCATAGGGTAACTTCATGGTTTTGAATTATTGATTGTAATTGATTTTTTATTTTTGGTGACAATTAATATTTTTGAAAGACAAAGATAGAATATTATGATTGCTAAAAGAAAAAAAATGAAGTTATCTCAAAATTAATAAACAAATTTTGTGTGAAAATCTGCAACTTGATGAAGTATACAAGTGTATCAATTATGTGATCATAATTTTTTTTTTTTTTTTTTCATATAATTATTGTAAAAATCAATATTAACACTAATGATATTATTAATATTATTATTATCATGATTAATATTCTCACTATAGTTACAGATTTTACCACGAAATTTTTAAGCATAATATATCTTAGCTCTTTGCCAAAATTATAATTTAATAACTAAAACAAAATAAATATTTTTCCTCAATTAAAATGATAATAAAATATAATCAAAAAAATGAAGAGATCAATGAAGTGAAGAAATGCTTCAAAAACATTTCACAATAATCCCAGCTGTGTGAAATAATATTGATCTCTAATTATGGAAAGTATTCTTTTCAAACAAATAATTATTCATCTTGAAAATTTTTTTTTTCTCCAGAAAACTAAGTACGCATTGAGACATCAAGTTTTAGGTCTGATGTGCAGGTTAGTATTTAATAACAAATTAAAAATAAACAATACCAAACACAGGTAAATTATACCATCATCAACACTAAGTCCCTTTGGTTTGAAAAAAAGAGTTCTTATGGGTAATGCGAGAGAGTTTTTATATTAAATAATAAAACTTAAAATTTTAAATTTAAAACATGGTAAAAGAGCTAAATAGAATAAAATTATAAATAAATAAGTAAGGGAATGGGTATCATTCAAGTGTTATGGGTATTTGTGTTACAGCAAATGGCTAGTCAAAGGAATCAGGTTCAAAGACAGCAGGCTCTAGCTCTGATGTGCAGGTTCGTTTGGTTTACCATTCCGAAAATCAAATTTTTCATAAAAAACTACCCCTATTTCCATTTATCTTAGAATTCCATTGTACTTTCTATTATATCAGATCTCACTTAATCAAAATCCCATATACTCCCTAATTCATTAACCAAGCATATTAGATTGATCTTTTTTCTTGCCGACTTCATCTTAATTTTTATAATCTCATTTATTCTCTTTGCTTTATTTTTCACTATCAGATTGTTTTATTGTCAACTTATTCTTAGTAATTACCATGATTTTTTATTGATAACTATCATAAATATAAAATGTTCCTAGCAATAATTGTTTCATGGGCTATACTTTAGAGGTGCATAATAGCATGTTGTAACCATTACAAAATAATTAGGACCCTCGATGCTTTTCTATTGTTCTGAATTAACAAAATTTCCAAAATTCCATTCATTTCATGATAATTCATTCTTGTGGATTAACTTTTTTATTTTAACATATTAGTTTCTGTATGAAAACCATCTACTTTTTTTAAGTTTTGAAGTTTCAATGATTAAAATTTTGGTTTATAATATTGCATGTACATAGTTATTTGAATTGATAAAGTACTTGGGAACTATGTGACTAAAGGGTTGATGAATCAAGCTCTAATTGTATGGTATAATTTGGTGACTTTATTAATACCTGGCTATGACTCAATAATCGAGACATTTAAAAATTTTTTTTTCAAGTCTTCTTCTGAATTTAGACAGCTTGGGGAATTTTCAAGTTTTTATTGTCAATATGAAAAATGTAATTATTTGTGAACTTCACAAGAAAATTACCTAGTACTATAAATCACTGCTTCATTGGCCGGTTATTGGTAAAGTCACTCTACGAATAAATTTATTTTTAAAATTTTTAACTAAATAATTTTTTTGTTCAACAGAGTTTACGTTGGAAGCATAAGTTTTGAGTTGAAAGAGGACACCATTAGGCAGGCGTTTCTTCCTTTTGGACCAATCAAGTCTATCAACATGTCATGGGATCCAATTACTCAAAAACATAAAGGTTTTGCATTCGTAGAGTACGAAATACCCGAAGCAGCGCAACTTGCGCTTGAGCAAATGAATGGAGTTACTATTGGTGGACGAAATATCAAGGTAGCTGGTCGTACTAATTTCCCGAATAACCTGTCCTTGAAAAATCCTAATGAATCCATGGAGGTTCGAAGTAACTTAATTTCCTTCTATATTTTACTTATCCTATTTTTCTTATAGACAAAGTTTTCTCTAAATTGAAGAATCTTTAACCTTATTCCTTAATATTCCAACCTTAATCGTTAATATCTCTCAATTCTACTCAAAAGTAAACATAAGAAAGTAAAGATTCTTTGAGTTATTGATAAAGTAAATGAGTTGGTTTATGAATGATTTTTTTCAATTTCTTTATTTATAGTTGTAATTAGAGTACTAAAGACCTCTCATTTACTTTATAACTTTTCAAATTGATTTTTTTATTGAATACTTTTTATTACTGTTTCTAATTTTAAAATAATATTTTTACTTTAATTTAGAATAAGTAAAAAAAATAGTGTTAATTTAATTTATTAATTTGATTTGAATGTCCACCAGGTCGTTGGGCGTCCATCCAACATGCCTCAAGCTCAATCGGTCATTGATGAAATCACAGAAGAAAGTAAACACTACAATCGCATTTACGTAGCGTCAATCCATCAAGATCTCACGGAGGATGATATCAAGTCAGTCTTCGAGGCGTTTGGTCCCATCACCTATTGCAAACTTGCTCAAAGCAGCTCGCCTCATCGTCATAAGGGCTATGGTTTCATCGAATACGAGACCATGCAATCGGCTCTTGAAGCTATATCATCGATGAACCTATTCGATCTTGGAGGACAATTTTTACGCGTAGGACGAGCAATTACACCACCTAACGCGTTGATGGGACCACCAACTGGTAACAGCATGATGCCAACAGCAGCAGCTGTGGCTGCCGCAGCGGCTACTGCTAAAATTCAAGCTATGGATGCAGTGGCAAGCAACGCTGTTGCATTGGGATTAAATAAATTAGGCGCTGCTGCGACGCCATTGATAAACTCTGTAATACCCATAGCTAGACCTACACTTGCATCCGCTCCTCTTCTTGCCTCTTCTACCCCAGTACCTACTGTTGCTCCACTAATTCCACCACCAGGCATTGCTATTCCACAAGCTTTGAGTAAGCCAGCAGCTATTATTCCTGCTATACCTGGACAATCTGTGGTTATTCCACCACCAACAGTTGTAACACCTACAGCCATTGGGCAAACTATACCAATTCCAGTACCAGTGTCCCAGCCAGCAGTAACGTCTACAGCTTCTCTCATTGCACCAACTTCAGGTCCAGAAGCCATGAAACGAGCGCAAGAACAAGCTGTTGCGAAACAGCAAGAAGAGCTACAAAAAAAATTATTAGAAGAAGCTGAGCCACAAACACTTCAGCAGCAAGAAAATATGTCTATTAAAGGGCAGAGTGCACGTCATCTGGTAATGCAAAAGCTTATGCGTAAGGTAGAATCTCGCGTCGTAGTTTTACGTAATATGGTCTCGCCCGAGGACGTCGATCAAACGTTACAAGAAGAAATCCAAGATGAATGCTCCAAATTCGGTGTAGTTGAAAGAGTTATAATCTATAACGAAAAACAGTCGGAAGATGAAGACGATCCCGAGGTTATTGTCAAAATTTTCGTTGAATTTTCACAAATGGGAGGTAAGTTCTCGATTCTCGACTCGATGAAATTATTAATAAATTATTCAATCAATCAAATTTGAATACTTCATGATTGTGATTTTATTTTTTTCAGAGGCTGAAAGAGCAAGAGATGTACTTAATGGACGTTATTTCGGCGGACGAATGGTCAAAGGAGAATTATATGATCAAGATCTATATGATAATCATGACTATTCAGGTTGAAGAATTAGAAAGTAGTCCAGGAGCCATTAACACTTTCTCCTATGGCTGAAAATGTATTGGTTTCAATAATCCTCAATTATATTAATCCGTGGAATTAAATCGCAAGTGATTTGACTTTTGAGAAAATTGAGAATAAAATATTAGGCTTAAAAAATAATTGACAACACAATATTAGGATTGTAAATTCTATTTCATACTCTAATTTATATTTAGTGGTTTGTTTTTTAAGGGAATGAATGATTTTATTTTCATAGTCGTTAGTCGATAGAAAGTATTTAGCACTTAATCTTCTATATGTGAATATTGTTCACTGTTGCAGTATGTTTACTGATCATTGTTATGCAGACACGCTATGAATCATGTACATTATATAATTGATTGAAACTTAAAATTAATTCAATTTGTTGACTTAATTTTTTTTTCTTGAATGCATAGAACTAAGATTTGTAATTGGGAGAATTTTTTTATTAAGTTAATTTATAATACAAATATCTCCTAGACTACGTTTTTTATTATCATTATTAAATTAACTTAATACAAAGCACTTGTTTGTAGAAATGAATGTACTGACTATAACCAACGTACCACATTTATGAGTGAAAGAAAGTTGTTTATTTGAATGCTTCAAATAAGATATTTGTATAAATAATTTTTTGCGGAAAGTAAAAATTGCATCATCTTTGAAAAATTAGCTTGGTGAATTTACGTTTATAAAATGTTAGCTTTAGAACATGTTCATCAATAAAAAAAAAATACTAAATGATAACTATAGTATACATTTATTTGAATAAAAAAGTGAATATAATATTTAATCTGTAAAACTTTATTTCCATAAAACATAATAATATTTAGTAAGAATACATTTTTCAATAATTTATTTACATGAGTCAAAATATAATGAGTACAGTTGATTTACATTCGAATTTGAAATTTTCCAGCTTTAGTGACGTACTTCACACCTTTGAAAGGCTTATATTTTTCACCATACATATCTAATCTATTGACTTTTAATCCTGATACTGCAAGCTGATTAATTACAAAATGAACATTGATAGCTGGATTGGATTCTAATACTGTAGCAGATGATTGCACAGAAACAGACCCTCGCAAATTCGGTAATTTTGATGTATCGATTCTGCCTATGTCCCATTGAAGAATTTTATTAACAGGATCAAACACATATTTTCCTTGATTTGCAACTAAGTTGCAATTCAGAACTATTTTAGGCAGTGGAATCTCCAAACTAACATTTTCTACTGCTCTACCAATTGTTTGTTTAGGTCCAACTGTAATATCTAATCGTCCACCACCAGGTTCTTTCAAACTAATGTTATGTCTAACATAAATAGGGATTGCAACAACATTTTGTGATCCAACATGGTATGATAATAATGTGAAATTTCCATCTGGAGGTATAAATGATAAAATTTTTTCAGCTTCCCAACGTTTGAATCGTATACAAGGATGAAAACTAACATCATCCAATAGTCTTGGATTGACAAATGATAAAGTAAGATCAGGCATTCCACTTAGTTTAATGCAGCAATCAATGCAACCTTGAATCTCAGCATGGACAGTAGCACCAGTTTTATCAATGATAGCATCTACTTCTTCGATAATATCAAAGTATGCTTCATTATTAGTATACTTTACTCCTGTTCTTCTCCATGGTACATTAGATAACTGTCCACTTGGCAAAATAGAACTTACATTTGATTTTCCTGTAACTGAATTAGCTATGGTTCTTAAAATATTAGGTGGTTTAATTAATTCCTTCAAGATGTTAGACTCAGTTGTTAAAGGGAATCCATTATCCAACATTTCATCTAACAATTCATAAACAACAACATAATTTTCCTTGACAGTTGTTTCAGTGCACTCAGTAAAATAATCTTCAAATGTATCTACAACTCTGTGCAGAAATTCTACAACAAATAAAGGAGGTATGTCAGTTGTACAGACTGCTACAAAAAACATACGGCAGCGATATATGCTTATGAGGTAGTGATGAGGAGTTGCTACAACTGGTGGAATATCTTTGGGTGCCAACAGTTTATGCTGATCATCGAATAAATAATCACAAAGAGATCTGGCTACAGCACTTTTCCAATGTTTTTCCATAAAAACATCACCAGAAGAGTTGATGATAAACAAGCTGTGAATCATCTTGTCTGTCTTCTTCAAAGAAAAGTAAAAAATAAATGCAATCAATAACCGCAGACAATATTTCAATCTGCTAAAATATCAATCTTATTCAACGAAGTTTCTGCTTCGTTGTTGTAATAATTGTTAATAGGGTTTTGTATTTTCGTTTGTTTTGAAGACTTGTTTGATTATGACTTGCTTTCACTTCATTGATTCAAACAGACTATTAGAGGTATTCTTTTTTAACACTGCGCTCATAATTGTCTTTTCTATGAACTTATTCTGTTAACACTGTTTCAATAACAACAATAATAACAATGGAATGTATTTTTGAAGAAATATTTATTTATTATCTATCCGTCATTTTAGAATTGTTGGAAAGATTCGATCTCGCCCATCAAAGACCTCCCTCTTGGGCCACAATTCATTTATCGGCGCATAGTATGCTTGCCACGGTACGAGAATTGTACACTTGCAAGTGAAGTCTACAACATGGCGCTTTCTGACAGCAGTGAGTCGCTCCAATTGACCCGCTTGAATTTGAAAATTCGCACTGTTATAAAAATGTTATCTCTTATCAACGTATGAAACTGGCTTTTTTTATTACGAAAAAATGTGCGTTGCAAATCTTTGTTCTTAAAGGTGCAAATTTTCAAAGAGGGGCTCAATCAAGCTGACTTTCTCGGTTATCTGCCGACACGAATTGTTCCACGGTCCATAATTGAGCCTCAAAATTTCTTCGGCCTGGCGTAGATAGCGACGGGTTTTTTTCAAAATATTTTTATACTGTTTTGTATTGATATTTTCCTCTTCGTCGAGATATCGAATGCAAATATCGGTTAATTTATTAAGTTCATTGGCAAATTCGATACTATCGGAACCGTACCGTTCTTCGATCGAAGTTAAGCTGTACTCTAGTTGTATGACAGCCTCAAGCCAACGACCCATAGTCGCTAATATTTTACCAATAAGATCGTGAGTAATGGCAATAGTTTCATGATGCTTGTAAAAAATTTTTGTTCTAACTTCAAGGCATTGTTTAGCAGTCTCCAAAGCATCGAGTGTCTTATTTAAACGCAACAAATCTTGAGTTTTAGCAAAAAGTCTTTTTGATTCTTCAATTTCGTACAAAGTGTTTTCTTGTAATTCATAGGTTGTATCACAGCTAAGGCAAGTGGCCGTGAGACCGTTAACGACTTTAACAGCACCAAAACATTCTTTGCAATTCAACTTTTTATATTTATCTGCAAAGTTTTGCAAGGCACGATCAGTGCAAGCTTTACACTCGCATGTAAAACAGTACTGATTTTTTAACGATGTTTGTCTATCTTCTAAGGCCATTCTTCTGTAGTGAGGTCCATAACAATTAAGAACTTCTTCTTCACTTGCAATATCTTCCGTAGCTTTAACAATTAAGTATTGTCCTTTAAAACTATTAATAATATTTGGTTTACAAGAATGATTCATCATACTTGCAGAAGGATAAATGGCGGTGGCTACTCTGCATTGATACTCGGCTGCAATGCTTTCGAGTTCTGATTTTTCTAAAGATAATTTTGTAATCGCATGCCCATTACAAATGAGTTGCATCATGTGCCTCAAAATCAACCCACTGACATAATGTTCTTTGTTACCATCAGTCCAATTATCAAATTCTAAATCTAATAAACTAATCATATTGAGCTCTTTGTTATCAAACTTTTTGAAAAGATTTTCGTGGACATCAACAGTTTGAAAAAAATCTGTATAAGTTTTTAAATACAAGGTCATCATGAGAGCAGAAACTCCATAAACGTACATATCATTTGTGCCTATTTTATCAATGTTTGTAACTAGATGATGAATGGTATTAAACTTATTCATGTCACTTTCAGCACAACACTTTAAAAAAGTTCTCACAGTCAAATGAGCGATTCCTATTTGATTCCACAAATCAATCTGATGACCAAAACATTCATAACAATGGTAAGTAGACCAGGCTTCCTCCATACATTGTTTACTGCAATATATTGTACAAGCACAAAACTTACATGGTATTGGTATATCACCTTTATCATTGCAACAATTAGCACACACAGCATCGCTCTCTCCATTATCTAACAAAACAAAAGCAAAAGGCTTCTCATAGAACAATGTATCACCCTTTTTGATATCTTGATTAGCGACGACGTAACGTCCCTTTTCAACTGAAAACTTGATGCTCAAATTTTTCGAAGCACTTAGAAATTCGGAGTTTTCCTCGAAAATAATATGATCGGAAGCAGGTGACACACAGGCATTGACAGGACTAGTAGCGTCTTTTTTTCCGGTCATGTCTATTACCGTACTAGCCGTAAGGAACTCAATTTGTTTCTCAATGTCGGCGATCTTGGAGCTCGTCAAGCTCTCGCTCGACTGCTTGCTGATGCACTCCCTCAGCTTGACGACAGCCTCGTTCATTTCGATTTTCTTCTGCAGCTTGGAGTAGCACTGCGCGGCCCGAAGATACAATTTGTACATCATCGCCGCGGGATAATTGCACTCGAGGGCCAGCTCGATGTCTTGGATGCAGGCCTTGTATTTCCCCATATAGAACAGAGCAGCGGATCTGTTGGCCAGAGCCAAGGCGAAATCCTCGCTGTCCCACGAGGCGTACTGCAAGCTCAGTCCGTAAGCTTCGAGGCAGCATTGATAATTCTTCGCTTGGAAGTCGCTGTTACCTTTTCGCCTGTACTCCTGGCTCTTGTCGTTGCTCTTCTTGAACGGGAACAGCTGCATGTGCTTGAACGAGAGCAGCCAGGACACGAGCTGGTCCTTCAGGACGCTATTGTTGACGAAGTAATCCATGATTTTGAACTCGTTCCTCTCGCGATCGTAGAGGCTGAAAGTCCTGTTCTGGCGCACGACCATACGCAGTATCTCTTGCCAAGAGTCCATTGTTTTTTTTTTGTTTCTTTCGCACTCGTCGATCAAATTATTGTCCGAAGATGAATCGTTATCCTATTTTTCGATATAGGGATGTATGGCAGTCGTTCAACTAGTTCATCGTCGAACTGACGAACGCAATCGTGTACGCGCGTCGTTATATCATCGCGCGGGGGGTCGCGCGAAGAGGATTCGAGGCGAATCAGTGGCGACTGGCGGGCGGCTCGCGTGTACACCACACAAACCAAACACATACGTCTATAGTGTTTCGTAACTTCCCTCGGCAATACGAAGGAAAACCACTTTTATACTTGCACTTCCTATACACACACTTTCAACCCTGCGCTGCTGCCTCTGTGCTGGCATGAGACTTCTGCACAGGCGGTCGGTCGGGCGCACGGATGCACACACACGTGCAGACGATTGTCAAAGTGTGTGACTTGCGCCTTGTGCACCGGCGGCGGCGGTAAGCGTTCGCGCGCGCGCGCGCCTGTCCGTCCACCCGGCAGCAGCAGCAGCAGCAAGCATTAGAGTGTCAGACTTGGCTCCTTTACCCCCCGCGAGCGCGTCGACTGCTTTTGACAAATAAAAAACGGGTCATCCACCTTCGATTAAGCAGTGCTTACAACCATTTCCTGACGCGGTACTCTGCCACCTATCGATTGCTGCTTCTGCTGCTTTTTGTTATTGTCTGCAGTGTATAGCCTCTTTTTCGAGAGCTTCGAGTTTCGTTAAAACCGTTTGCTCGTTGCGTTGTCTTTCCAGATGCTGATGTGTCAAAAATCGTAGGTAAACACAACTTTTGAATAATCGTATTTGAGGGTAGATATAATTGGGTTTTAATTTAATTAACGAGTGATTCGCATTTTACATACAGGTTTCAATTTTATGAATAACATTCGGATCTTTTTGCGCGTCTGCAAAATAACAGCATCAAAATGAGAAAGCCAAGACCAAGAGATAGACCAGTGAAAAACAGATCATCATCTGACAGAGGAAGTGATAATTCACCCACACGTATTCTAGGTGTTCATAATTTTTTTCTCAAAGTTGTCCTACCTATATCTGTGTTGACAATTGCAGCCTGTTTGGGCTATAAAGGCTACAATGAAACTCGTGTCAATACTCCATTCAGTAATAGTAAACTTGTAGAAGTAAGTCGCTTAGATAAGAATGACTATTATTGGGGGTCTTATAGATCAAATATGTACTTTGGTATGAAAACAAGGGAACCATATTCATTAGTAACTGGTCTCATGTGGTACTTCTCTAGAACTCTTCAAGCAGATGGTAGTGGTATGAGACATTGGTGCACTCAAAATGATAGATTAGAGAAATATGGCTGGACCAAACACGATGGAAAGAATTTTGGAATACAAGAAATAATTGATAATAATGTTTTAATTACTACGTCATTTGTAAAAGATATTCATGGATCAAATGGTGGTGACTGGACAGCTAAAATTAATGCAACAGCTATTAAATCAACATCAAGAAATAAAGAGATATCTTTACTGTTTTATACTGCCATTGAAGATAAGACAAATGGTAATATTAATCCAATTGTGGATCATTCAGCTGAAATTCTGAAAGGTGTCGAAGGTCAAACTAAAGACTTAGGTTACTTTGATTTAAACTTCAATGTGATAAGTAGTGGAGAAGTAGACCAATCGTATTTAGTCACAGCAGCTCCAAATCTTGGCCTTCTTAAAGAAACAATCTTTCACCACTTTAAAATTTCTAAGAAAGCAAATGTTGAAAAAATTGTTCTTCCTGGTGAAGCATTGAGACTCAATAATGGAAAAACATTAGTGCCTAATTTTATAGTGACACAGGTCACAGCTGAATTGCCTGTAGAACTAGAAATTAGATTTGAACGTAATAGTATTGCCAGTCAAAAGGAAAAATTAACTGGAAAGTACTATGATACAGTATTGAAAAATTATGAAAATCATTTTGATACCAAATTTGAAGATACTTTCAAATTAAAAACCAAAGGATATAACGAATCAGAAGTAAATTTTGCAAAAGCAGCTTTTTCCAACATGATTGGTTCAATTGGATACTTCTATGGTTCTGCTCAAGTGAAAAGTGTTTATACAGATTTACCTGTTCCATATTGGAAAGCACCTCTTTTCAGTGCAGTACCCAGCAGGAGCTTTTTCCCAAGAGGCTTCTTATGGGATGAAGGATTCCATGGTCTTCTTCTTGCTAGTTGGGACTTAGATTTAGAAATGGATATAATTAGTCACTGGTTTGATTTAATGAATGTAGAGGGTTGGATTCCAAGAGAAATGATCCTAGGTGAAGAAGCTCTTGCTAAAGTTCCACAAGAATTTGTTACACAAGTCAACACCAATGCCAATCCTCCCACATTTTTCTTAACTCTGCAGTATATTTTAAATCACAAACGCAGTGAATTGATGACGAAACATTTGCATCTGTTGGAAAAATTATATCCCAGATTGCAAACCTGGTTCGAATGGTTCAACTCCACTCAAAAGGGCGAGATCTCGGGTACTTACAGATGGCGAGGAAGAAACGGTGAAACGAATCGAGAATTGAATCCCAAAACATTGACTTCCGGCCTAGACGATTATCCACGGGCTTCTCATCCGACGGTTCACGAGCGTCACGTCGATCTACGTTGCTGGATGACTCTGGCGTCGAGCGTGATGGCGAACTTGGCCGATATCCTCGGCAAAACGACGCACAAGTACGAGAACACGTTCGACTATCTCTCGGACAACAAGCATTTGAATGAGTTGCATTGGTCTCCCACGATGAGCGTCTACGCCGATTACGGCCTGCACACCGACAAAGTACGACTCGAAAGACCCAAGCACGCCAGTAGACAAGCCCAGGTATCGCAAGACAAAGTGAGGGTCGTTCTCGCGGAACCGGAAGAGAAGTTCGTCGACACTTCGTTCGGTTACGTATCGCTGTTTCCCTTCCTATTGAAAATCGTCGACCCGGACTCGTATCAACTGCAAAAGATTCTGCAAGACATCGAGAAGCCCGAGCTTCTGTGGACCAATTACGGCTTGAGGTCTTTGGCAAGATCTTCGCCGATTTACATGAAGCACAATACCGAGCACGATCCACCATACTGGAGAGGAGCCATCTGGATGAACTTGAACTATCTGACGGTCGCAGCGTTACAACATTATTCCAAAGTCGAAGGTCCTTACCAGGTCGAAGCCGGACGGATTTATACTAAACTCAGAAATAATCTCATTAAGAACGTCTTTCATCAGCAGAAGAAGACCAATTACTTGTGGGAGAATTATGGCGATAAACTCGGCGAAGGAAAGGGCAGCCATCCTTTTACGGGATGGACCTCGTTGGTTGTTTTGCTCATGTCAGAACAGTACTAGAAAAATAGCTGTAGGCTTGTTAAAGTTTGCATCTAACATAATGAAGAATCTTGCATTTTCTATGAATATAGAGTTTTTTAAACTCGGTAAACTTGCATGTACGCACTTGACAGTTAATGAAATCATAGTTATTCTGGTCCTTTAGAGATCAATTTTACGGAAAATTCTCCTCAAATGTTGAATGAACTCAAATGAATGACCTTCATGGTCATTTTAATTATCGAAGGAAATGTAGCATTAGTTCTTGAACTATTCTTTAGAATCCAGTAGTTTCTGATTCTATTTTTATAGAAGTGATTTTTTAGAAAGTAAAGTCTGTGTAGATGGCTTGTATATTATTAACTTTAAACTTCATAGAATTATTATAACTTAGCATGGAATTAGCATATACCCATGTACTTTTTACTTTAAATTTTTATTACTCTCTAACTTCTTAACTATTTTACGCTTTTGATAGAAGTTTGACAGAACTTCAGTGATAAAAGTTCAAGTTGCATAATAGACCTAAGGTTGTTATAACTTGTCATTTTTACTGTGCATATATTATAAAATATAACGTCCAAACTATTAATGAGTATAACTCATGCTCGCGTTATATATATTATAGATTTAAAATTTAGTGCAAAATATTTACTGTTGAAGTAATACAAAAATTTTATATAAAAATGAAAAAGGGTTAGTTATAGAAAATTAGATATTAAAAAACAAGAATTTTTGAAATCTCAAAATTAGTAAAAAAACTTTAAATGAAAATTCTAAATTGTAGTAACATTGGTACATATATTCTTGGGATATCATATCTAACGTAAATTTTTGATTGTTCAGATGATTTAAATATCTTGCATAATCCATTAATTTATAAGTAGTTTGATAGAATTTATATTACAATTTAAAACATTTAATGATCATCACTTGAATAATAAGAAAAGCAATATATGTAATTTGGGTAAAATTTCAATACCTAAAAATTTAAATAATGTTTTTAATGGTAAATATTTAGATTACGTAGGTAGATACTTAGCTTGACCAGATAATATCAAGACTGAAATTGCAACTGTCATTTGAATATAATCTGAATTTCAAAATCTTAATAATATATCCAAGACTTATGAATATTATTACATAATATATCATCCACAAACTGCATAACCCAATTTTTCCATCAAAACTATTTCAAAAAACAATTATCATTGGACACTTTACTTTAACACAACATAATGTATAAATGTATACGTATATCGATAGTAATATTTATAAAAGAACTTGTGATTGATACTAGTTGCCTACATATAAAGATTTACAACTTTGTAAGTTTTTGAATATACATATCTTTTCTTAGATTATAAGTCTAGATATTAAATAAAACTAAATGTTTTTTCAACAATTTAAAATTACATCTTTATTTATAACTTTCAATTGGTTCAATAACATACTAATAAAAAAGTATTTGCTTTATTTACAGTTTGTAACATTCATTTAAATCCTATATTTACAAAAAAGTTACCTCAACTATCAATAAAAATAATTTTTTACAATTTCTTTGTCGAAAATTATTATTTTATGACTTATTCTTTTTCCAATTGGGTTTATAATCACGACCAAATTGCTTATATTCATCATAAGTTGGGAAATTTATAGAGGCATGTTGATCTAATGGTTTGGCATTAGGATCATGAGGCTGAAGTCCTTCTTCTCTTTGATAAGTAATTTCCAATTCAGCTGCATTTTGCCTTTTGGTCAATATCATTTCGTAATTTTCCATCACCTAGTAATAAAAAACTCTTGAAACTGTGACGAATGTTTCATGATTAAAATTAGAAAAAAAATTAAATACCTCGGCTTCAGTTGGAGGATCCGTTCGACGTTTTCGCAGCCAAGCTTCCCATTCAGCGGGTAAATCCTGTTCAAAGTTATTCTTCTCTTTCGGAACAAAGTAGCGATTACTTTTCTTGTGAATTGATTCCTTCAAATTCGTGACTTCGTAATACTTTGTGCCCATATAATCTTCACCGACGAGATTATGTTTAGGAATTTTAGGTGTGATAGATCTGAAGAAATGTTTGAAAATAATATGCATCAAGCGTCTCTCTTTTCCTGCCATCTCGAATAGTTTTTTTTGCACAATCTGAAATTACGAATAAATATTTATCAATTGTGAACGAGTCAACTTATTTCTTGTCAACTACATTCGCCTCAATTAAGTTGGAAGTTGTACATGTACGGTGGATCTAATCGTAGCATTTTAGAGCCGATAACAAGATTACCGTTGCAGTGTATGGCTTCTATAGAATTAAATAGTACTGACGCTTGGACAGAGTGATAGGGAGGTTCGATAAAGAAAAAATAAAAAAAAAAATCTAAAGCGTTAAATAAAATCTTTGCGTTCAAAGGTAGTTTTACATTGATAGAGAAGCTTTAACGTAGATCGCATTAAGATTTTGCATAAAAATAGAGCAATATACTTGGCGATTAGTTTACATTCAAAAGTTAGAAAAATCTCATTCTTTTAACAATTATTGGCTTATTAAACATTTTGACTTTTTGGATGCACTTCAACGTCAAAACATTACACCACTTTTTGTAACCTGCAAATATGATCGTAGTACGCAAAAATTCTGCCACTAACTTACCAAATATGTTTCAGCGCAGGTCAATTTTATTCCTGAAAAATTATCTCAACCAGTTCAATAATTAATTTGAGTTATTAATTACTCCCAATCCATGGAAGGTAAACGATTCGTGATATAATTTTACACTGCTGCTCTGTTTGCGATAAGTATGCAAACACACTATGTGTATAATGTCATGCGCGCGCTTCTGTCAGAAGCAGACGACGACACGTCTTGCAAAGTGTTTCGAAAGCGCGTAATTTCAATCGTCAAGATTAATTCATTTATTTTACTCATTATATTCATATCTATATTTATAATTTTTGAGCGTGCGATGCGGTCATTTTTTTATCAGTATTATTATGTACAAATTGGCCCAATCATAGTTTATTTTTTACGTTTTTCGGTAAAAATTTATGTTAATTATAACGCCAGGTTAAAAATCGTATTGCAATCAAAAATAAAGATGCTGCGGGTCGATGAGTCACTCGGCGTGGAATAATGAATATCGATTGGTAAATCATAATCGCCGGACGGTACAAGAATATAGTTTACATGGCGATAATATATTAAATAAATTTTAAATTTACAGATATTTCATGCAAAATTTTATACTCGGTTACATTCGGCCGGGTCGTCACTCGCTCGGAAATATAACACAGTTTCGAAATGACAAAAGTGTATCGAGCGGGTGCGGGTGCGCGCGGCTAAAAATATTTTCTTTCGAGACGACAGACAACTCGGCGCGCGGAGACGCGCACAATGACAGATGGAAAATTTGAATCGCGGAGCTCTCTCAAAATGGGTATAAGTTATAATGGAACATAGAGTACAGCTTGTATTTCCACGAAGCCACAGCATGCGAATTTCGAGATGAATGAGGAAATCTGTTGTTTGTTGAAGAGTATATAGGCTAGACACCTTTGTCACACATTCGTACACGCGTACACTCGGCGAGCGAAAATATAAATCATTAGCGATACGACGCGCGCAAAAAAGCACCATACGAAGATCGGCAGTGATTAATCAGTTTTTACTCTACGCGCGTATACGCGGACGTGTATTACGAAAGCAGCTCGTGCATCGAAAAGGCTGGAAGAAAAATTTTCTTAGGTAAACATACACGCACACACCCTCCTCCGTTGCAGAGTAGTTTGCGGTGCGCGCTGGGGAAAAAGTGAAAAAAAAGCTGTCATCCCTCTCGGTATAATGTATAACGCGCCGCAGACGCACTTGAGCATTTATGAGGCGTGCAGCAGCAGCTCGCTCGAGCACGATATAGCTATATGTAATGTACGTAGGCAGGCTACATAAACACGCGTGTAATACGTCCCATTGCTCGGCGAAGCTTTGGAAACGAGTCGTATTCGTCGTTATGCGCGGCTGTACTGCACCACCCATGGAGCGAGATTGGATGTGTATAATATGCCTCCCTTGGTCTCTGCTTATATTGCTGTATACACACAAGCGCGCCCCCGACTAGCTCGATGTATTATTTCTCTCGCTCGACTTGGCCTCTTGCCATGCTTTTCTCTCTCTCTCTCTCTCGCACGTAATATAGCCTGCCGCAAGTACTTGAGACGTGCATCCACTCGAGGCTCGCGCCTACTCTGTACTTACAGGCTCTGTATACGCTATATATTGCGGTGCGTGTTGTACAGGCGCCAAGTGCGAGTTGCCGTCGTCGGCTTTGGGATGAGGATGTGTACCCTCCTGTTACGTGATTCTACCGGGCGTATGTGCGCCTGTATTTTAGTAATTCAGGTATATCCGAGGCTCCATTGCTCCGAGAGAAATAATATTTAGATGTCGATTTTTATGTACCTGTTTATATCTTTAAGAAGGAACTAATGGACAAAAATACTTGATTATGGACGAAAAAATATTGCTTCCTCAAAGAGAGTAACTCACAGTTTCCTGCAAATTTCCACGTTCCTTGAAGATTTTGCAAAATAGCAGGAGAATTAGAGTAAACGCGTAATTTGACTGCGAAATTGTAAAGCACGTAGAAAGATGAAATAATTATCAAGTCTTTTCAATATTATAATAAAATTAACCCGCACATCATACTTCGGCTCATCGTTGAATTATTTTTAAAAATTTTTACTTTCACACTTCTTCGTCACGAAATATCGTATTTAGAAAAATATTTATTGTTCATTCAGCAAGGGATCAATAAAAACAATAATAACAATAACAAACAAGTGATGACTTAATTATGCTTCGCTCACATTGTTTCGATCGAATTTCTGAACTATAATTTGTAAATATTATAGAATTAAGTGTTTAGTTCGTTTGATGTGTAACATTATTATGAAAAGATTAGTCGTTAACCAGATTCGAAGTGAGAAACATGGAATCGAGTAATATTTTCAACGGCGCTGTTAGGTAATTTTCATTTTAGATGAAAAAACGTATAAAAATATCATAGCGCGATACTCAATCTCATTTGATTTATTGCAGTGTCAAACAAGAACCATATGACGATCCCATTAATGAAAATAATTATAATATTATTGACGAGACATCCTGCGTTAATAATGTTCGATTCTTCAGAGAATATTCAGTAAGCATTAGCAGTCATACACGATTGACACAGTGAACATTTTTTACAAACCACTTCACATAATTAGATTTTTTATTACAGACGCTGCGATGTAACGAAAATCAGGAAAGTGAGCTCGATGATATAAAAATTGAGTTTGAGTGTAAATACTCGAAGCCTGATAAGAAATCATTAGTATTTAAGAAAATGGACTATTATCCTGCAAATGATTTGCAGAATACAAACTATAGCGACGATTGTAAAAATACAAACACGATTAAAATAGAAACTGCGAGTATAGTGAAAAAAGAATTGGATTTGAATTCCAATAATGAACTCCACCATACATTTGATACACGCGAGAAAACATTCACTCGAAAAAGTTATGTAAATCGGTACGTCAAATCCTCAAATCATGGTATTGCATATGAGTGCGATATCTGCGGAAAAAAATACACGAAAAAGAGTAATCTCAATAGACACATTAATAATATGCATAATGGTATCGAATATCCATGTAGTAGATGTGAAAAGAAGTTTTCACATAAGAGTAATCTCAAACGGCACATCGATGAGATACATAATGGTATCACATATCCCTGCAGTAGATGCGAAAAGAAGTTTTCAAATGAGAGTAATCTCAATAGGCACATTAATCATATGCATAATGGTATCACATATTCTAGAAGATGCGAAAAGAAGTTTTCACGTAAGAGCAATCTCAATAAGCACACTAATGAAATTCATAATGGTATTACATATCCCTGTAGTAGATGCGAAAAGAAATTTTCAAATAAGAGCAATCTTAATACTCACACCAATGAGATTCATAATAAAATCAGCCATGCATGTGATAAATGTGAAAAGTCATTTACTAAAAAAAGTAATCTCAATAGGCACATTAGATCGTCTCACGTTAGTATTACCTAAGCACATGGTGCATCGGCAAGTAAGGCACTAAACAAAAAATTATCTTAAAACCCATATCGATTCTGTACCTGGTTCACTCATCACGACCTAATAATAATGAAAATATAAAATGTATGTTCAATTTTGAAAACCGCGATGTAAAATCGAATGTATTTGTGCAGAAGATTAATCTAAAAATTCTGATTTTTAATATTACATATTCCTCTAATGGTTTTTTTATCTGATTATGTCAAAAACCCGTTCAAGTTATAAAATGACCAATAAATTATTGTATGGAAATGAATCAGATTGTTTATTTCAAATTATTTTAAATATATTAGATTGCCATTTTGATATAATTTTGATTTTCTGCTCTAAAATTCCATAAACTCAAAATTTATTTTGCAGTGCAAGCATGAGTATCTAACATGATACTAGATTTGAATAAAATATTTGAAAGAATAACTCGCTAATCTACAGTACTTAATAACTATACTGAAAGGACTGATGATATGTCAATAGCAAGTTAATACTTAATTTGTTGAATCCATTTCATTGATACCAATTTTATAATATTAGTCACTTTCCAGCGCCTTTGATTTTGCAAATATTGTTTTGCAACTCACTTACGTTTCTTCGGGTAATTAAATCGAAGCGCGCACCAATATGTCAACAGGTGAAAAAATTATGCATCATTACGCAGTGCGATTTTAATAATCAATTTCAGAACACCTCAAAATTACTCGGCGCTTAAAGTTCCACACTTTATTATGTGAGGAATTTATTCGTTTCACACCTTGATAGCTCCAAAACTCCAGAAAATACTTAACAAACACGGTGAAGATATAGCCGATCAGATTTTCAGTGAGACATCGAGCCTCGTTGAAGTTTTCTTGCCTTTTGTAGATCTCACATATATTTGATGAATAAAATATCATCATAACAACGAGGACGAATATTGCTGTAAGTCTCGTGTCAACGTAACTTTTATTTCCTTTCGGATTATAACGTCTGCACACTTATATTACACAAACAATGACGCATCTCATTACACAAACGTATAATGTACAACTGATAAGCGTCCAACTGCTCAACAAGGTTTAAAGATGTAATGTCAACGAACATTACGGATGTCGCAATTCGGTAATAATTTCAATGCTCCATTTCAATTCGATCGAGTGACAAATTCGAAAAATCTTGAACTCGTCGAGCGCTCATTATTCGAAGGCTCGAAGCGCCGCGGAGCTCCGAAAGAATTTGGCGAATCGTGCTGCAGACGCGTCGAGTACACACTTTCGTTCTCAGTCTGACGAACTCTCAATGCGCACGGCCGCACGCGATACATATTATGTATAAACATACTGTACACTGTGTAAGGCACACAATACGCATCGCAAGCTGTATATGCATATATTAATAAGTGCACGCGCACCGCAGGAAAGGCTGCGCTTGGACCGTAAAAGTGTGCATCGCTCGCGGGCCATTTAATATTAAGTATGCTGCACGATATACCTGCAAAAGAGCTGCTTTTTGAACGAGATGCTCGGCTGCGTGCACTGCACACCACACGCGTCCTTTCGTTCGTGAAAAAACATTAACCCGAGAGCCGGCGAAAAAAATCATCATCGCGCAGCGGATGCTTGCTAGCGTGGCCCCTCGGTCCTTCTTCTTTTCCCTCTTTGCTCTCGTTTTAAAACCTATTCGCTTTGTCCCTCGATTTCGTTCTGTACGCGTTTTGTTTCCGCGCCCTTTTATCCTTGTATACAGTGTGAAACCTTTCGGGAATTTTTTTTCTTTTCTTCCTTGATCCGGACTATTTAAAAATGCCGGTACAAGAAATTAATACCTATTGTGGAGTACGTGCGCTCCTAAACGAGTGTTAAAATCAGTCCACTTGTAAGGTAAAATTATTATACTACTCGAAACGTGTTTAGAATATTATAATTCATTCAATCGACTTGCAAAAAATCTGAAATGTGATTTATTATTAGTTTTGTATGAAAATTTTTAATCGCTTCCTTATGTTTTCGATAACTAGCGTGTTTACCCCAAGAGGGACAAGGAGCATTACTGTTGTCGTATACTGTATTGGTTGTTCCAATAAGTTATTTACATCAACTGCGTAATACCATCCGTATCTTTTGGTCTACGTTCGCTCAACAAATGCGAATCATTGAATTTTTTTCATAAATTTGCAAAGAAATTGAGAGTACGCCTACGCATAGGAAATGGAAGAATACAAGTATCGCGTATAACGCTCTCGATTTTCGTATCAATGAGCGAATCTCCGGAGAACGAGTGCCATTCGACACCTGTACTGCACGTGTTTCTTTTCTTTTTTAAAGCCTATCTCGTTTTTTAACTTCAACGGTAGCCGGCGAATACATCGATAATAATACGCGCGGGTAAAAGTACGTATATACAAATGAACCGAGAAATCCCATTCACTCGCGACGACGAGCCGTTTGCTGTGCTTCGCAACATGTGCCCGAGTCGTGAGAGACAGCGCGCAGTACAACCACGAGTTGTGCATGTGTACAACATATACCTATGTATAAGGCGACAACAAACGATGATCATCGCTCGAACGCGGCTATAGCTCGTATTCGTGCGAGATGGACGGAGACGGAAAACGGGAAAAAACACACGAGCGTAATAAGTATCGCACGAGTACAGGAGTACGCGAGGAAGAGCGAGCAGAGCAACGACGTCTCTGAAGGCACACGGGTAAAAGCAGCGGCGGCGGCGCCTGTTTGCGCGTGCGCGCCTTTTTGCGACTGTGTGCAGTGCAGTGCACTGTGTTTGTTGCGCTATATATATGTATGCGTATGCACTCGCTGCTGCAGTTGCTCAAAGAGTGTAAATGTATTTTCGTACGTGTGTGCGTGCATGTACTGCATCAGCACTCCGGAGCGCAGTGCACCGCAGCAGCAACATTAGCAGCTGTATGCAAGCAGCAGCAGCAGCAGCAGGCGAACTCATGAGGCATGCATGCGCATACGAACACACACACTCGAGTGTATGTGTGATAAAATGGCCGCCCCGCCTTGCTCGGGGGGGCCCACTCCGCCGACTCGGCGATTACAGCCGCGGCGAAACGCTATATACGTATATATAGCAATAGCAATAATAATAATAATAATAACGAGCGCGGAGTCGAGCGAGAGTCGCGCGAATATGCAGAGGACTGCCTAGCCGATCAGTCAGTCTCGTGCAGCCAACGGCAGTGACTGAGCGTGCGCCGCCGCCACCACCGCCGGACACCCCGAGACGACTGTCTCGCTCGACAACACAGCACGACGACTGTTTTTAGTGTCTGTGCAGTATCCGCGACAGCCGCGCGCTGACTATATATAGTTATTGTATTATATAGATCGCGAGGCAGCACGTATATAGCTATTATTATTTGGGCTCGGGCCCGTACAGCAATTGTGCAGTCGCGTGTGCTGCAGCTCCTGTGCACGCAGCAGAGATCCAGTCGAGATCCTCTCCGGCTGCAGTCAGCACAGTGGGCGCGTGTGCCTCCGTAGCACGAGTGCAGTCCAAAGTGTGTGCAGTGCAGTGTCGATCGTTCGCGAATGCACGTCTGGCCCGGACTATCTCTCTGTGCAGCAGCGGGCGCGTTCGACCGAGTGCGTGCGTGTGTGTGTGATATAAGTGTGAAACGTGATTCGTTGCCTCTGCTGCAGTATAGCGGAGAGCAGTCAACTCGTCTTTTGGGAAACGCGCGTGTGTGCCAGCGCCAGCCGAAATTCCCCGAGGCACATATCGCTGCTGCTGCTGCTGGCCCACGACATACATTAACGTATGTATACCGTACTCACGCGCGTGAATGTACGCAGCGCAGCGCGAGAAAGAGAGCAGCAAGTGAGCCACCAGATATAGTTTTGTTGTCTATATATTTCCGACGAGAGAGACGTGTTTGTCTCGGTGTAAGTGCGACTGTGTGTAAGTGTATATGTTGTACGTGCGTGCGTACGCGCGTGTGTGTGTATACTTATGACTTAACCTCCAAAAAGTCAGCAGTCGTCCCGATCAGAGCAGCGTTACAAAAATCACAGCACCAGCGGTTCGTCCAGTGCATTCGATATACAGTTGTACATCGAACTGTAGTGACCAGTGCGAGTGTGTGCAGTGTGCTCCGGAAAAAAGCCCATATAGTTAACAGATCACGGTGAGAGCAACATCGTCGTCTACTTGTTTCTCTCTCTCTCTGCAAAGAGTTGAGTATACATGTATGTGCGCGCGTGTGTGTATGTGAGTGCTGCTGCTGCTGCTGCTACTGCTACTCCTCTGCTGCGTGGAATGGTATTCAAATACCGCAACGCGGAGCTGTGTTCCTACAGCTGAGAGATTCCCGAGTCTCGCGGTAAAAATACACGAGCTGCTCCACTGGCAAAAGCGAATGGGTAAGTCGACCAAAGTAAGACAGAGTGAGAGAGAAAAAGTCAAGGATTTAAATGACGCTTTACGGATAAGGCCTCGGAATCGGTCAAACAGATAACAGCCAGAACTAGCTCTGGTTGTATTACGTGTGTGAGTGCGTAGCTGATATGGTGATTATCGGTATACGCAGGCTCTCTCCTCTCTCTCAATCTAGTGTGACCAAGACGCCATACGCGTACGACGTATATAGCTCTTCTTTCTCTCGCTGCACCTGATCTCTGCTCTCTTTCTCCTCTGCCGACGTTGCTCTCTCTCTCTCTCTTTCTCGCTCTTTCACTCTGCGCGCACACTTGCATTACGAAAGCCTGAAAAAGAGCGAGAGAGAAAGAGCGAAAGAACCGATGCTGCCTATACTTCTCTCGACTCTCAGATGATGCTGCTGCTGCTGCTTATGTATATTCGCGTGTACACTCATATACACACAAGCGCACGCACGGACGAGCCAAGATTACCCAGTTACTCCAACTGGATTGTTCTATAGTCTGTTAATGTAGTTTTGCCTCTTAGTTATATAGCAACGGCCAACAGGCTAGCTAGCTTAGCTTCGCTTCTCTCCTCTTCGTCCTCTTGCTGCTGCTGCTGCATCGTCTTGCTTTCTTCCGGCTTGTCTATATATTTTCGCAGCTACGTGCACTTTTATCGGTATTCGACATCGATGGTCTCCTTAGGCACACGATTAGTCTTCCTGCGGCTTTGCTGCTGCCACCGCTCGTTGCCTTCGCCAAGGCCTTCTTTTTCTTTTTGCCTCCTCTTCATTCATCTCTCAGCGGCCTAATTCAACGACGAATCTTTCCGTCGACACGGCGAACGCGCTACTATCCACTTATTACATTAATAGTCGCGAGTCACAGAGAGAGAGAGAGAGAGACATTTGCATGAGATAATTGCTCGAGAGGAGAGCCGCTGCTGCTGCTGCTGCGGCTGAGAAAGCGCCGCGCGCTCGGCCTAGGTTTCTTCATTTTCTCCTCGGCGTGTGTAAGGCCACTTTCTGGCATTTACGGTTGTTCAGCCGAATTTCTGACTCTCTGCACTCCGAAGCGACCGAGAGACAGAGAGAGATATGGCACATTCCGTCTGTCCGGCTCGCGCGACCCGCCACTCGAACGGGCACTATTTTTTTCTTTTTCTTCTTTTTTTTTATGGACCAGCTACCGGTGCACTTAAGAGGACCTTCCCATGAGAAACTCTTCGATAGAGTTTATATGTTTGTGGTATTTGTATATCAGGGTCAGTTTCAATTAGTACCACTAGGTTAAAAAAAGAGGATTAATTTTTTTTATCCTCTTTTGTTTGCGTAAATGTGGTGACTTTATGAATTTGCATTTCTTGATTTCACTTCCTGATTGGCGATGCTGTCGGTGCCGGTACCTCTACCGTACCACTGCTGCAGCTCTCTTATGTATTACAAATACCGATCGTTGTCACACTTTCGGTTTAATACTAGTTCTCAATTATGCGCTCAATTATTATCACGAATGAAAATAGTGCAGTTATACCAATGAACAATTCGATTGTTACTCTCCGTAACTCCGAATTACTTTACTTTAAACCGCTTTGAACTTACGCGAGTTGATTCGAATAAAACAATTGTAAAGGTAATTCATATGCACCGCGTTCAACGATATGCACACTCGTACTTTTCTTATAATTATGCTTATCTGCAAATTAAACCGTATAGAATTTTCGATATCAGTAACGAATGCTTGGCAACATCGATAACGAGACTTTTCATGCGGTGCACAGTACCACTACTACTGCTGCTGCTGCTGCTGCTGCTGCTGTACGTGCTTCGGCAACTACTATATACAACACACACACACAGAACATTGTTAAATTCATCCATTGTTTTGCAAGAGTGGAAAATCTAATCGCACGCAGCTATGGATGTTTGAATCATTTTGATAACAGCCGTTTTCATCCGAAGATATTCGCGCGCGTGTATAAGTTTCCAGCGTCATATTATTAAGCTCTCGAAGTGACTCATGCCGATTTTTTATAAACTATTGCGTGTCGTATATAACTTGCAAAATTTTCCGGTTCTTTAAATTTAGTTTATTTTCTTCGAAACCTGGATATTTGCATTTTATCGCGGATCGGGTGTCACTGTCAATATTCATCCAAACGTTTTTTCTGCGCTGACTTAATTAACAAGAATATTGTTACGTTCGGAGCTCGCGTGAAGCAGAGTGACACACAGCGATATAATATTATATCAGCCTTCAATCGTCAGACAATTCAACTTACGATTCTGATTGAAAAAATGCTGCCTCTTCAAACGTACTCAATTCAGCATAGTGCACGAATTGCTGGCTAAATATCAATGACCTAAATATTGCCTAATAGATCCTCAGCAATGAGATCGAGCGATTCGTTCGACAATTTCCTTTTCCTTTGGCGTGGAAAATGCTCAACAGCTTCGTAATCAATGCTCATGAATCAGATATCAGAGCCGCTATTTGTAGCTCGTGCGCTGAAATTAATTTTCTCGGAATAACAAAATGATTAAATGTGTTTCGCAAATTTTTACAACGATATTTACACATGGAAGTGTCAGACATTAGCCAGAGTCACTGAAACTCACATGTAAACGCAAAGAACAATGGAGTTGATAAGTGGCAATGGATAAGATATGACGTTGGCTTTCTGTTTTTGACGTACCGCATTTTCATAATATACAAAGGGTTTGAAACGTTCAACGATCGCCGCACTATAAACTCGAGTTTAGCTCTTTTTATTGCTCTGAAATTAAATCAGTTCTCGAAAACACATCACTCGCCGTATGTTACAGTTTTCAAGCTTCATACTTTGATTTAAATAAGTTATGAAAGTTGTTTAACGCGATTTTTGTCGTTTTGCTCGACAGAAATTTTAATCAAATGCATTTGATGCAATTTTCATCGATACGTGTACCTGAGGCATAAATCAATTAACTTTTAAAACATTAGCGTGACTGATATGATCGACTCAATAAAATTACTTTTGCCATTATCGAGCTTTTTTTAATTATATTTGAGCGTTACAAGCAATACGCTACAGCTCAATTCAAAGTTGGCTGATTAAATAAAGCATTGAGCATGGTTTAAATTTTAATGTATTTTTATTGAGATTCGAGGCTTTCACTAGATTCGACGAGTTGAGAGTAGGATAGGATAAAAAATGCCTCGATGGAATTTCATACACAGCGGAATGGATTGATCAGCAGCGCTCGGCACTTGACAAAAAATGTACTACACTACAGTGAAAGTTGATTTACAAATAATGCATAAATGCAAAGTGAAGAAGGCTCTCGAGCCTCGCAGTTGGATATAAATACGAGTAATTTTGAAAAAAAAAAAATTTCGCGACCGAGTAATTTTTCATCGCTGTACCCGTTCTTTTTTCTCTTTTACGCGCATCGCTCCTTTTATAATTCAGAAGAACTGCGAAGAAAAACAAATCGACAAATCAGCACTCGTTCGTTCGGTGTATTATATATATAATACGCGCGTATACGATATAGCGGCAAGTGCACGAGGCGCGCAGAGCACGAGCACATTCATATACACTGCTCTCTAACACTCGCTCGTGCGCGCTGCACATGGAAGCGCGAACACACGGTGCAGTCTGTGTGTACGGCCGCATGATGCACTCTCGTGCTCGCGCAAAAGTAGTCCGGTCGAGCAGCATGCGCGAGAGTCTATATACCTGTGACGGTGTGCGCGCGTGTGTGTGTGTGAGTGTGTGTACGTGTGTAAAATGTCCCGAAACGTTGACACGACTGAAATTCCATGCGTTCGCTTGCTTGCTCGCTCGCTCGCACGACCGTACGCGTGTGTGTGTGTACCATAACTTTCCCATCGAATAATACGAGATGCGTATAATACACATACACGCAAACAGGTTCTCTCGCGATATATAGAAAATCGCGCGTTTGCTTGCTTTGGAACAAAATATTATGGTTAGCTGATAAACATTATGAAAAATTGATCGAGAGTACACATGCATACATGATGTATACTTACGAAAGAGAGAAAGAGAGAGAAGAATTTGCGCTAAGAGTGTAGAAAAAGAGAGAGAGAGATATTGATGCCGTCTAGCGGTATAGCACAAACCCGAAAGAAGAAAAGTAACGGATAAGCTTACGCACACTTCGCGACGAGGACGACGCGGTCGTCTTCTCTCTCTCTCTCGCTTTCTGCAGCTATTTTGCTACGTCTTATCTCAAATAGATTACAAATCTCGTTTCTTCGTAGTTTTCTCGATGCAAAAAACTCGCGCAGCTGTTATTGAATTGTGCATCGATGACTTTCGCGTTAAATGCCGATGGGATTATCTCGTAAACATTTTGCCATTGTTCCGTCGAGCTTCCTCGACGCCATCGCCCCGGTACCATCCCGTCCGGGAAATTCTCACGATGTATACGAGACAACAAAGTAATCGTAATGTCGGAAGAGCGCAGCAAAAAAATATGCCGAAATTTATTACGACGTCGTTACGCCAGCACGCGGTTCGATATTCACGGCTGCGTCGCACTTTTGCTTTGGAAAAATATCGTTGTATTTTAAAAGAAAATTAGCTCTCGTGGCTGTTGGCCAATTGTGCGTCTTGTCATCGGATATAGCACGACGAAACGTCAATGTATCCTTGTTTCATTAGAGTCGATAAAAGTCGAATGAAGATAATACGTTCTCGCTTGCGTAAGTCCAAATTGAAAATAGCTTCGCCTGTTGAGCTATTGTTGTGGGCTCTGTTATAATGACTCGTTACAATGAGTATCTTCCGACTGTTTCTTTTTGCTTTAAAAGAACAAGTGACTCTTTACGTTTAAAAGGTAAAAATGCCAACTTGCCGCAATTAATTGGATAAGATTATGACTTGACATCTTCCTAATTTTGTTTTCAAATTAGATTAATATTTCTGTATACACTTGTTAGATATGAGATTTACATTTCCGAAACACGAAAATATGTATTAATATGATACG